GAATAGCGGTGGGTGTAGCATTTGCTACCAGTATCACAGGCGGGCTAAGCACATCAGTCGCCATTCTTTGTCACGAGCTACCTCATGAAATGGGTACGTATTTAAAATATGTTTTAAACAAATATATTTTTGAAAAATGCCTTTTAGAAACTATTCCAAAATGTCTTTCTTGCTACAATAATGTTTATATTCTCTAATCAAGTCACTCACTACTCTAGGATACAAGTAATTTTAATCTGATGTTTAAAGCATATTCTCTGTCCGTTTATTCAGGTGATTTTGCGGTTCTTCTGAAGAACGGAATGACGATTAAGAAGGCTGTCCTGTGTAACTGTCTGTCTTCGTTGTTGTCATTTATTGGTATGGCTGTCGGACTCGCTGTAGGAAACATCGGAGATTCAAGTCCATGGATATTTCTTGGGATCGCTGGCATGTTTCTGTACATCTCACTGGTAGATCTAGTAAGCAATTATAAATACATGTACTTTTAAACTGTAAATCAAATAAATAAATTGAAACGAAATGAATTCTAATATAAAATAGATATAAATCATTATAAATCGGATAATGAAGTTTAATAGGAATAAAATGCCTGATTTTGTGAAATGAACTGTAGTCTTAAACAGTAATATACTTCAAATTTTCCTCTATAAAGGTGGCTATATTTTAATTTATACATAAGACCTTTATCTTTCAGCTGCCAGAGATGAGTTTACTAGACTCGGAGAACAAAGATAAAAGACCGTTTCGACAGTTTTTCTTTCAGTTAGGAGGTGCTGGGATAGGAATTGGAATTATGTTTTTAATTGCTTTGTATGAACATCAACTGAATTCTTTGTTCAACGAATGATTTCATGTCCACACCTACACCTAGTCGGGGCGTATCTGCGGAGGTTGGATAATGAAAGCTTATATATAAAGTGTGCAATAATATATGTCAGATCTTAATTTTAAAGTAAGGTGCAAACAAGTGGTTGGCAAGAGATCATCCAAAGTAGACAAAATAGTGAAAATAAAAGCAGTTTCTTATCCTTGATACCTTGATGTACAACAAACATGGATTTAGGTGTGAAAAAAGACTTTTTGATTGATTTATCAAAAGCATTCACAACATGTATTTGTGAACAAACACAATTTATCACACAACAATATTAAATCATTTATCAGTTTTGTAGATACAAGCTAGCCATAACTAGAATATAGAAACGGTTAGTCCATTTTCAGACTGTCATTATGGCTGGGACCATTACATGGTTATTGACCGTCTAATCTTAGTTGATGACAATAACAGACACTAAGTGCATTAATAGTCATTTCCGAATCATTATGAATATTCAAATTATGTTCAATAAAAGTATACAATCACTCCTTAAGCCTTTTTTATGATAGTTATGTATTATTATTTCCATTAATGAAGTGTTAAAAATGTCAAAAGTTTGACCCCCTCTCCCAAATTAAGTTCTTTATGTCAGGTAAGTCCAAAGCTTTTTCTGAAGAAAAATTACAAAATTTAACATAATTTAATTTTCGGTGGCCTTTTCTTCCTTTTTCTTTTTTAAAAAAAAAAAAAAAATATTATCTGTATAGCACAAAATGATTTATATCTCAATGAAACGATATTAAATACATTAGGATTAAATTAGGTAAATATAAATTGTTCAAGTTCTCTGACCAAAAGGTCCTTACATCTAAATTAGAATACGATCGAATCGACCTTTACATTAACCAACTAATCGATTCTCTGATAACTTTGAATTTTATATGATTCATTTTAGTTTACACAGAATTTGTTCAAAATATTTTCTCATAAATGTCAAAAGAACCATTAAGGGTTCCTTTTCTAGTTGAACGATGTCTAGAAAGTATTTTTCAATTCAGAAACTTGTAGGTTACCATACAAGTGAAAAACCATTTTGATTATTATATATATACATGTACATGTATACTTTTGTTTTATATAATAATTCAGTATTTCGGTACCTGACTGAAATGACACATCGCCTTTTAAAAACCGCAAACATATCACTTATAGTTTCATCGATCAAACATGAGAAATGTTTGACATTAGTTTTATAAATGAGACATTTGTTACAAAATTTGTTTCTGACGACATGAAGATAACGAACAATAATCAAACTCAATGTCCTATTAAACAATACATATTGAGAACAGAGCAAACACGAACTCTGAAAACATCAGATGTGGGATGGAAGAGTTATAATCCCCTGTTGACTCACTGTGAGTCTTTTGTCTAAACTAGTTAAGGCAAGTTATCCGTAGACAATTCAGTATGAAAATAATGATCTAACAGTTTGTTAAAAAAACCGTCAATATTCAACCTAGCGATACATGTAGGTTGTATTTTGCAAACAAAGTCATTAATCGACCATAAAATGTTGATTTTAAACGAGATTGTTGATACCCTTGTATCCTCAGCTTTTTGTGAGTAACCTGCCTCGAATCAACTGAGAGACATAAATGCCTGTCTAGGTGAAAATGGGATATTGCTGCATAAATTAGAGAAGCTGACGATCGACAAATTGACGCCATCAAGTCTATCATGATGTTAAACTTGTTAGTTTGTCATAAATTTCTTTCTCTAGTTATACATCCATATATGATTAAGATATGTTCGAGTGATGTGTTTTATCTTAAGTTCAGTGGGATATACTGAATAAAACATATAAACGATAATGAACATTGTTAATTGATAATGTCGTCAGTATATCTAAATGTCGAATTGAAGGCCTCAGGAGAAAAGACTTTGTTTTTTAATATACATTTAAACAGGTCTGCTAATGAAGGGACACTATTAGTACTCATACGAAATCTAACGGATTTTGAAATACCTGTCTTTACACATAGACAAACTACATAGATATTGTTGATAAGGAAGTTAAGCATCTTTCTAATATCAACTTCAGAGTACCACCTGTGTGCAGAATCAGAATGAGTTTTAACACAGTAAGCGTAGAATATGAAAATTTCCTAGTTTTTTTTTTTAATTGATGAAGCAATAACAACTATACATCGCTATTAACAACGATTTGATCCTTTCAAATAGAAAACAAATCAAGGAATATATGGTGTCATTGCAATTAAAAGATAATGATTTAATGAAATTGTGTATTAGATTGATTATTTGTTGTTTAACGTCCCATTCGAGAATTTTTCAATCAGAAAGAGACGTCACCATATGTCGGTGGAAGGCTTCAAATTTAGACCTATACTCAACACTTAGGGCCATTGAGCAGTGAGGGTCCTTTATCGTGCCAACGTGTACTGTGACATGGGACCTCGGTTTTTAAGGTCTCATCCGAAAGACCCGTGATTTTCACTTCTAGTGCTGGGCGCTTGGTTAAGAAACGGTCACTTCCTATGTTTACGTCTTAACGCGGCGCGGCGAACGAGAATCGATCCCGGGCCTCCCGATCACAAAGCGAGCGACCTGCTACTAGGCTACCGTGGCCGGTTAAATTGTGTATTAGTGATGAAACTGAAATTGTTTACTTGTATTGTAAATGGATATAACTTGAAGAGGTCAGTTTTCAATATTTTTAAGATTCCCAACAATCAAAATGATTTTGAATTATTGTACCTGGATTCCAAAACTCCATAAAAATCCTTACAAACAAAGATACATAGCGGGTTCCAGTAAATGTTCTACCAAGCCTCTTTCTTTACTCCTCAATAAATATTTACAGCAGTTAAGGAGAAACTTCATGAGTGCTGTACAACAGTATATTCCAGAAGTGGTGTAAATCATATTTGGATACTTAACAATTCAAAGGAACTTTTAGAAAATTTGAAATCACAAAATTTCACCAAAATCAATAACATCACAACGTACGATTTTTCAACATTTTACACAACCATTCCTCACAATAAATTAAAGTCCAGGCTTTTTGAAATCACAGACAGCTGCTTTTTCAATAAAAATGGAACTCGTAAATATACTTACCTTGTTACTGCTCATTTGCAATTTTATTTGCTAAAAACATTCTTATTGCACACACAAATACTCTGAAGTTGATATTAAAAAGATGCTTGAGTTTCTGATTGACAATATCTATGTAGTTTTTGGAGATCAGGTCTACAAACAATCTGTTGGAATTTCCATGGTAACCAATGGTGCCAAGTTATAAGCAGACTATTTTTGTATTCATGTGAATCAGAATTTATTCAAAACATCTAGAAGCATGAGAAGAAGAAAACACTTGCTGTGGCGTTCAACTCGACATTTAGATATATCGACGACGTATCATATGTCGATTCGATATATCCCAGTGAACTTAATACAAAAATAAGGACATCACAGAGTCTGACATATCTGTTTCATATTTGGATATTTTACTAGAAAAAGACGTTAGGGATAACCTAATAACAAAACTTTGCGATAAACGTTATGACTTCACTTTTTCTATCGTTAACTTCCCTTACTTTTACAGCAATATGCCCTTATCACCTGCATATGGGGTTTATGTTTCTCAGTTGATTCGCAGGAGCATGCATTACGTATGAACAATTTCTAAAACAAGGCAAGCTATTGACAAACAAGTTGATGAAACAAGGAAATCAACAGTCTCGTTGGAAATCATCATTTTGCAAGTTCTATAGTCGATACAATGTTCTTGTCAGCAAATACAATCTATAATTAAGTCGAATGCTGACCGACTTTTTTTTATACCAATTGTTATTCACACACTGAACTGTCTACGGATTTTTCCGTTTTCCCGATCATGACAAGGAGCACACGGCGCGTGTGACCAGTCGGCAGGGGATGCTCACTCCTCCATGGCTCCTGATCCCGCCTTCTTTGTTTTTAGGAGGTCCCTGTTTGCTCTGCTTCCGACTTATATTGTTTAAATGGACTATTAGCTTGAATACCGTCCGTTATCTCCATATTTCAGGCACATTTATCGTAAAAATCACAGTATGTCAAAGGATAAATGAATAACTATTGACTGAAGATTCTTTATTTCAATCAAACATTAGCATGATTAAGTTTAAAATTAAAAAAAAAAGTCGTATGTGTACGAGTGCAATACAAATACTGGTACATTGAATTAAACTTGATATGTAGTTCATGATAACCATTAGTGTTTTATGAATGTCATATGTACTTTTGAGGCTATCAAGTTATACTTATTTGATATTTGCTATTTATAACTAAGAGATTTCGATAATTTGCTTGGTATGGAATGAAGTTACATTACCAATCGCGTCCGCGGTTTGCAAGAAAGTACATTTGCCATGGTAAACAAAAATCTCAAAAGTTCGAGTTTGAAAAGGGATAATTATGGCAGTAGATACTTAGATTAATAGATTAGCTGGATTGGTTATCTATTAAAGAAGCATAGTAAATAGTGGTATATTAAGTTTACGTCTAGTTCGTGTTATTCCATCAAAAATAGTTTAAGTTCAAAATATTTCCATGATGAAGTAGGAATGAGATCGGAGATAGAAACACGGCTTTTGAACAAAGTGCATATCCTTCCCTCCATACTGTAGGCGTAAGCAGTGCAATGTCTAGTCTTAACACATCTGTCTGTACATTTAAAGATGGAGGAGGACACTTCATCAGTAATAACCGAATCTGGATTTCGCGGTCTCTCGTATAGTCCAATCAGATCAAACTCTGCTTGTCTGAAAACCACGGCTGTATCTACAATTAGAAAAATCGCAGTTTTGATTACTGACAATGAATCATACTCAAAGAGTTTATATTCATTTGAAGGTAATTGAGGCGTTAATCATAAAATATAGTTGCAACTTCAATTAATTAATTAATTAGTAATTTCATAGTTTATATTCATTGTCTTGATTGACTTTTGTAGATTAAATTACCGTTTACTTCACAGGTAAAATTGAAAGCTTCCCACTTATGATTCTGTTGACAGGAAATGGTCTCTTGATTCGACAGAGTGGACAGTCTGTAGAACTGGTTACAAGTGAACGTCGCAGAAAGTCCGTCTGGGCTCAGAACATAAGCTCCATTGGGTAACGAGGACGGAAATAAAGGACAATAATTATCTAAAACATTGAGAAAGGGAAGCTATCTTAGCTTACATGCATACGATGCACTTATTTGAATTTCCTTATCAAAATCATTGATCATTTAATAAAGCCCCTATTTCCTTTGTTATATTCGATATGAAATCATAATAATGGTATCTTAATGGTTAATTAAACAGGAAGACAAACATAAACATGGAGAAATGCTATCGTTCCACTGTGCTGTACTGAGGCAGGTCACTGTCTTGGAACCAGAACCGTCTGCCATGTGTAGACTATTATTACAAGACACGGTGACAAAGGTACCGAATGTTACGTTGTTGGTGCTCAAGTAATATCCGGTGCCTGGTTCTTCCAGTGAGCTGCAGTTCTTTACTTTAAAGAAGGAAGATCATCGTTGCAATGCAGTTGAACACGTAATTTTGACAATTCAAGCATAAGCTCATATTATTGCATTTTGCTCAAAAAATATTGAAATGAATTCCCTTTGTCTTTATATTTTGTTAGCTTTTGTCAGGCAAAGAAATAGTTTTATAATCAAATGGAGTGATTAAACTCGCACCAATGCATTTTCCTACGTCATCCTTCCAGTAGTAATCACCGCCGGATTCCTGGCACGTTACTGTCTTTAACGTCGCGTTATTGTTCAGAACATATCCTGCATTACATTCAAATTGTAGCTGAGATGTGACAGTGAAGAAGTCGACAGTGTGAGGATGATAAGAAGAGGCAAAAGAAGCTTGCTCCTCAATCTTCCCTTCACAATGTGTATCTGTAAGTTAGAAAACTCTATTGGCTGATGTTGGGTACAAATTTTGCGCATAAATCAAGAGCTTTGCAAAAAAAGAAATCATAGGCAAAATTAGTTTTACTTACCGTATGTTCTGTAAACTGGCAGAGCTGGACTTTTTGTAAAGGGAAAACACCAAGTCTCTTGTACTGTTCCGTAAACATATAGAGAATTTCCACAAAAACAATGTCTTGAAGAGTCTGGAAAAGAACACAAAAATCAATATGTCGTAATTGAATTTACGAAAAAAATACATTAAAGTAATTTGGAGAAATAGAAAGCGATTTATTCAGCACAAGTACTTGAAAAAAGATGCTTCAGACAACTAAATACCTTGATTTTCATAAAAGGAATAAAACTGATAATATGATGCCTTGCAAGTGGCTCTGCAGTCTTCATCTGAAGATACTAAAGACTGAACAACAAAGTCTCCTTCCACATTCAAAAAGCATCCCAAATATCTCGTGGAATCTACGAAAAAACCGATATATAACCGATATGCATATTATTTCAACTTCTCAATAAACGGCGCATTTCACACACAAATTTTCAACGACAAAATATATTCTTACGGTTAAACTGTGACAAAGGTTGTCCATATAAAGATACACGGAGAGAAACCCGCTGCTGAGAAGATTGCGGATACAGTCTTAATTCTCGTGTTATGATTGGCTGGGAGTAAAATTGTATAACGCGACTGTATCTGTCAACATTTCCAGATATCTGAAACAGACAGAATACATATCTAAAACGGAAAGAATACATATCTAAAACACTTTGCTGCCGATTTCTCTCTTTCTCACATCAAGTATGATAAAATACTAGTATCCATATATATATATATATATATATATATATATATATATATATATATATATATATATATATATATATATATATATATATATATATATATATATATATATATACATGTATACATATACCATTCAGTAGAAATTCTATTTATGTATTTTTAGAGGAACATATAATAAAATATTTATTTAAAATCAATCACGTTAATAGTAGATTGCTAGAGCACTCAAATACCATGCAACTTACATTTGTTGAGCCATTGATTGCAACGACTATATCTGCATTCTCTAAATTCTTGTACATTAATATATATGACCTCACCCAGGACTCTGTTAGCACATCACCTAAAATAAACTTACAGTATATATCATAATTTATCCAATATTTATACTCATTTACAGGTCAAACAGCAAAACAGTCGCTACAGTAACCCAATTAGAAAATTGATATTTTTTAAATCTGTTCTACCATTACAGTATCATGAGAAATACTTAAAGGGCTTTGATAAAGCTTGTCACCCACATCTTCTACGAATTAATATGCCATTTTAAAAATATATTTACAACATTAAACCAATATAGAATAAGACTAAAATCATAAAGTTTTAAAAAACAATTCTATGTATTTCATATTACTAGTATTTTACTCCCATTATTCCTGTGTTGCTTGTAAGTCAGCATTGTAAAACTAGATTTTAACATTGCATCAACACCATACCTTGTGTCTGAATAGCAGTAATGATGTAGTCTTCTGTAAATGTGAACTTAATGTATGGTTCAGAGTCGGAATCTTCAGGTCTCCAGCTATGATCTATGCTGTAGTTAGCATACGCATTGATTCTGAATGGAAAATTACTTCATCAATATTGTATTAAATAATTGAAATCTTATCTAATTCAACTGATATAACCCATATATACAACAGTTTACTATGAAAAACCCCCACTCAATATAAATAAATTGAAAAAAAAAAATTTAATTAAGAAAATAAAATTAAAAAAAAAGCTTTCCAGGTAATAAATTCGTCTCAGAGTATTATGAAAATAGTAATAAACATTAATAAAACCTGTATAAAACTTTTCCTGATAAATTCCATATCATCATAGTTATCAGTGAAATCTTACCGAAAACCTTCATCTGAAATACCAGATTCTGTAGAAGATGGAGCAATGGAATAATCCGTTATAACTGATAGTGACGGGTCTAAAATAATGCAAAGCAAACTCCGTTTATGAATTCATTTTCAGCTGCATCTATTTAAACATGGGGTATTCTAAATGCTGTATAAGGAATGCATATTTTTATACTGGTATTCATTGAATATTTCCTTTAAATTTCATCATAGGAAAGAAGCTGTTACGAGGTCTTACCTTGGTCAAAACAAGTAACAAAGTATTGTGTGTTGTTTCTTTGGATAAAATATTGGCCAGGGATATTTACACCATAAGAATAAAGTTCTTCACAAGACTGCACGGTTTCCTCTCTGTAAAAGTCTGCAAAAAGATAATAAAAATTGTATGAAAATGTTATAAGAATTTAAAGATTAAAAAATACATTTTCACACGTAATATAGGTTGTTGATTTATGATCTAGAGATCAGTAAAATCAGTTGTCTTAATCCTTTTTACAAATATATTTTTTTCAAAAGTAAAAAAAAAGTTAAATATGTACGAATGAAATATCCATAATCATTTTATTCAATAAGTTGCATAATAATCAAACCTAAATCAACTAGGACTCCACTTTCTTTCGAGTCATCGCCACACATTTGAGTTTCGTGACCAGAACAAGCCTTACATTCACCATATTTGTTCTCATAGGTCAAGTTAGTATAACATCGACATCCTTTTTCACGAATAACACCATAACTAGCACTTCTACCGAGGCAAAGTTGAGTACATATTGATGACGTCATCGGATATATATATTGGTGTTCAAAGAGTAATGATCCATTTAAACTGTTTATGTCAATACATCGAACACTTCCTGGAAAAAAAAACCAATACCAAAATATATATTCAATAAAAAACACATGCAAAAGAGCATACCTATTTGAAAATACAAACCCAAATATATATTTACCGTTAACTGGGGATTTACATATGCCAAAGTGTTTCCCCGAAACCTCTTCCCATGCAAATGAATCCAGATTTAGTGTCATATATCCCATAGAACCATTAAATGTTACATCAGGTTGTGATCTCACAAAAAACCCTTCACTTGATGTGTAATGATCGTTGTGCAATCTGAATAAATAAAGTTTTTACCAAGCATACAAACAGCTATTAAAAGTATTGGTTAATTCTAGCAAAAATGCATTGTTAATTGTGCAATTTTGCCTGTCTTAGAATAATGCTAACTTTAAGTCCTTTTGCAGTAAGTATTCAAACTTGCGCAAAATGCTGGATTACAGCTTTAACGTGATCGTGTCTAAATAATGTTTCAAACCCTCTCAAATTCTAAAAAAGTGAGAAAATCCATTAAAGAAAAAAAACACACAATACCTATTGGACGTTCCAATAAAAAGATGAATGTCTGACTGAAAAATTGGAATTATTCGTTTTAGAATAGAGACGAGTTCATCATTCAATGCAGGAAGAAATGGAAGGCTGTCATTTTCAATGCATTGAGTGGCAAATGTCTCTCCGGTTGTTAACATTGTTCCAAATCTGTAACAATGTTCTCTATAACCCCAAAACATAGGAGCAGAACCACAGTCTGTTATGTCTGGAAAGTCAGAGAGAAATTATAGAAATACATGTAGATAATAAGATCTATCTTGTACATTTAGGTTTACAATAGCATAAACGTTTTATAAAGTAGATAAAATAAATCAGGTCAAAAAGAAACTATATAAATATATATATATATATGAGATATATAAAACCATTAAGAACTTGTCTTCCCTATAAATCGCATAATTACCAGACATAGACAAAGCTTAGGTAAAAACATATGATGACAGACATAAAAATGGAGCAAATCTATAAAGCAAGCGTACACAGAAAAATGATGGAAAACACAATTATCTGTACATTCAAAGTATATCTATTTAATTTCTTCTTTTTAAAAAATCTAATGTGAATTCACACAAGTACCACCACCATTAAAGATCTAATGTGAATTCATACATGTACCACCAACATTCAAAGTTGAAATAAAATATCATATGGCAAATTTACTTATTCAAGCAGGTAGTTAACTATATATCAAACAGCTCTTATCATTTAATTTTTCCATTTACATACATTAAAAGATGATGTTACCAGTAAATCCACAAGTCTGTTTAAAAGTCCCATTTTCATTCTGAATTGTGTATGTAGCGTTATAAAATACTCCGTGTGAATACAGATGATCACAAGAAAAGGCAGGGTATTCAATATCATATTCTAAAATGAAAATATGTTTAAAATTATTTATAGTATAAAATTAATGAAAAAAAAAAATGCAAAAATATTTTGTTAACTGAAAATCAGAATAAAAAATCCATTAATTAAAATGTATTTTGGGAATCTTAGACTATCAAATAATGAAGCTTCCGTGTAAATATAATTCAATGTTAAAACAGAAAATTTTACAAGAGGCCCAAGGTCCTTAACGGTCACCTGAGTATAATACAACAATTTAGAAGTTAAATACACTGACAGATGAAGCTTTGTTACCCTAAATCAAGAGAAGTAGGAAGATCAGGATCAACAAAATAATTAGTCTAGTATTCAGTATCAACTCATAACTTAAGTTCTAATCTGTCCCCCACTTAATATTATCACCATGCAGACTATTAACATACTATTAGTGCTTCTGTACTATTTTTAAACCCATATTAAGACCTCTAGCATTGACCTCTCTTATGGTCTTTGAAGAACTTTTAATAAGATAAGTTATTTTTGTCTCATTTTTATTTATCTATTACTTACAGGTCTGCCTGATTATTAAAACTAAGAAAGTACTTTTTGAATTATACGATAAACATTCTTGCATAATTATTTTATTCTATTAATCTTTCAAATACAATATTTACAGTGATTAATTATCAAAGGTGAATGGAAAAGGGGAATAACTTCTCTCAGTAGAATATAAATTAATAGAGCCCTGTCCAGGACCAGAATGCTTAGACAAATTGTCCAGATGTTCAAAAATCTGGTAGAAATACGCTTACTCATATCATTTAAACTTTTACTCAGTTTGCTTTCGATGTGCCCAGAAGCAGAGAAGAATTTCACAGGTACAATGCATTTTCACTACAGATTCAACAAAGCCTTACCCTAACACCAGAACCCAAGACCAAAGGTCAAGAAATTTACAAATTTGGAAGAGTTACCCTCATCATCATAACTATGGACTTCAAAGAATTAACACTTTTCCACTATATTATCAAAAGCCCCCCCCCCCCCCTTCCTCGTTATGCCAGAACCCCTGACCCTAGGACCACAAGATTTAAAAATTCTGTTCAAAGCTCCCATCTTCATCATAGCTAAGCAATTTATTTATCAGCTCAACACTAAGGAACAGACAGGATTAGTTAATGATTAATTAATAGAATTCATGCATTTTCACTATATAATCAATAGAGCCCCCCTCCCCCCCCCCCCCCTCCTCAAGAACCCCAAAAACTGAGGCCATGTATTAAAAAAATTTGGAAGAGGCATCCTTGCCTATCATAATCATGTACTTAGTTTGTTTAAATAATCTCCAGTAGCAAAGAAGAAGATTTTCATAGAATCAATGCATTTTCACTATATAATCAATAGAGCCCCGCCCTAACACCGGAACCCCTGACCCTGGGGCCATGAAATTCACAATTTTTAAAAAGGCATCCTTATGCATCATAACCATGCACTTAGTTTGTTTAAATGATACCCAGGAGCAGAGAAGAAGATTTTCAAAGAATTAATGCATTTTCACTAGATAGTCGATAGAGCCCCGCCCTAACGCCAGAACCCCTGACCCTAGGGCCATGACATTCACAATTTTGGAAGAGGCACTCTTGCTCATCATAACTATGTACTTAGTTACTTTACTTAATACCCAGGGGCAGAGAAGAAGATTTTCAAAGAATTAATGCTTTTTCACTATATAATCTATAGAGCCCCGCCCTAACACCAGAACCCCTGACCCTGGGGCCATGAATTTCACAATTTTGAAAGAGGCACTCTTGCTCATCATAACTATGTACTTAGTTACCTTATTTAATACCCAGGAGCAGAGAAGAAGATTTTCAAAGAAATAATGCACTTTCACTATATGATCTATATAGCCCCACCCTGGGGCCAGAACCCCTAACCCTGGAGCCATGAATTTCACAATTTTGGAAGAGGCACTCTTGCTCATCATAACTATGTACTTAGTTACTTTATTTAATACCCAGGAGCAGAGAAGAAGATTTTCAAAGAATTAATGCATTTTCACTATATAATCAATAGAGCCCCGCCCTTACACCAGAACCCCTGACCCTGGGGCCATGAATTTCACAATTTTCGAAGAGGTACTCTTGCTCATCATAACTATTTACTTAGTTACCTTATTTAATACCCAGGAGCAGAGAAGAAGATTTTCAAAGAAATAATGCACTTTCACTATATGATCTATATAGCCCCACCCTGGGGCCAGAACCCCTGACCCTGGGGCCATGAATTTCACAATTTTGGTAGAGGGCTCAATGCTTATTACAATGATGCCAACAGTTTGACTGCTTGATGTCCAGGAGTAAAGAAGAAGATTTTTAAAGATTGCATTATTTTTGGTGGTTTTAGCCCCACCCCTCAGGCCCCAGGGGGGCAGGGACCATGAAATTCACAATTTTTGTTCCCCTTCACCCATAGATGATATATGCCAAATTTGGTTGAAATTGGTTAAGCGGTTTCAGAGAAGAAGCTAAAAATGTTCAAATGTTAACGCACGACGCACGACGCACGCCGACGGACGAGAACGGATAGCAATAGGTCACCTGAGTCACTCAGGTGACCTAACAAAAGGAATAACAGAATTTTTAATTGACGAACAATGGTTAAAAAAATTATGCTTTGAATCTAATAATGCTGATGAATATTTTTTTTCAGTTTGTAAAAGGGGGACAATGAAGTAAATCAAGTGATCAAGTAAACGCAAGATACTGATACCTAGATTATAAACATCAACTTTATCCGCATCTGGGCAGTGCTGGATATTGTTTCCCAAGCAAAAGGTATTACTGTTCCCCAAAAGTCTATTGCTGGCACCCAAAGAATCAGGGGTAAGCAAATCTACATCTGTCTGATTACCACACCAGCACGTGTTTCTGCCAACCATGGCAAAATTCTGATCTGCCCCAGAGCAGACTTGTTTGCACTGAGTTAAAGTCATAATGCCATATCCAAGAATTAAAGGTTCTAAGTTGGCAGGATGCTGAAACACTCCGATAAAATCTGAATAAAAAAGTCAAGGTCTCCTACTTATGTTTAAAATGACTTTTCATTAAAAAAATCTTTAAAGTAGAATGTATTAATTTATGCTTTAAAAGCTTTAAAATGTTTTTTTTTTCACTTTTGCATAACCGTAAGACATATAAATTGTGAACTTTTAATTCTTCAAAACAATTTAATTGTTTCTCCTGATGGAACATTTTGTATTCACACAATGTAAAGAGATTAATAAACTGAAACACTTGTTCATTTGTCTCTTCTGATACCTTTTTCGGTTTCACACACAGCTGCTGAGGCCTGAGTTGTGTCGGACGAGGTACCGATGAAAGTGTTTAAATACTCCTGGTCCTGGAACAGCACTCTTTGTCGATATGAATCTCCGGAGAAATCAGTATCCGTCATGTATTTTGACATTGAACCAGATGTCCATGCCGGTGCTCCAAGCAAAATCGATTCAAAATATCCCAGCAACACCACGGGCTTAACTAGACGTTCTGAACCTACAATTTGCAAAAGGTAATATACATATTATTTTAAAATATCAAAACTAGTTCTTGCCCTGGGGTCATATGCCGAGATTTCTTTTCATATATTATATTAGTTTTGTTTATAATAAGGAAAATGCCATTTAATATCGACATACCCATGATAACCTTCGCAATGAAATGATGCTGTTGTTGGTTGTTGATTGTAGCCAGCCTACCTCCTTGTTGTGCACATGCAGACCGCCATTCTAGAATTGGTTGGTATCCATAGCCAGTTGTCGAGTTTAAAAGAACACTATAACAGGTTCCGTTTAATGCAAACCATCCCTCTTCACAATCAGTAGAACCATCTAATTTCATAATATTTGATTTTAACTTATTTGAGGAAAAATGAATTTAGCAATCATTTCATTTTGCTATCTAAGAATTTTTCTATACTTTTAAAAAGGAATTTTACTTACCATAGAATTTACAATGCTGAATGCCACTTTTTAGTACATAATGGCCGTGTATTCTTATTCCAGCATCAAACAGTGTTTTACAAGAGCTGTACAATGGATATTCATCTACAAAACAGTGTCAAATGAAATGATTATCTGTAAAAAAAACAATTTTTAATTGTTTTAAATCTTTAATGTTCAAATATATGCATAATGTTTTACAATTCATGATCAAAAACCAATTATTGGCGAACACTGCAAAAATAAACATTAAACATTATAATGATATCTAATGATAAAATGTAATATGTAAAAGTAATGAGATACCTATCTTATAGACGGACACACTAGATTGCAAATCACCACAAATTTGAATCTTGGAGTTGGCGCATCTAGCTGTACAGGATTTCATAGTATTCACCAGAAGTGTGTCATTACATCGACACACTGACGGGGATAGCAGAGCGTAAGTCATATTTTTGGCACGACAAATTTCTACACATAGCTCAATCGTCATGCTATCCGAAGACAGGGCTACAGGAGAACTATCGTCGCTCAAAAAACAGCCCACGTACTCTGTAATGGCAGTTACATTCCAAATAAGTACTCGTATATGTTTTATCATTTATTAATCTACTTCCATCACTTTCTTGTGGTAAGTCATCTAGGATATTATTTTGTTTAATGTGGTTCTTATTCTTCCCACAAGTATAAGTATTCTGAAGTTGCTGGTGAATTCTAATTAACAATAACTATGTTGTATTTGGAGACCAGGTCTACTATCTTTAAATTCAAAGGGTACTTATTTAATTGTGCCCATTTATCAATACAATTTGTTTTTTATATTCCTATGAAGAATTTATTTCAAAAAGCCAAAAAAAAAAAAAGAAAAAAAAAAAAAAAGAAAAAAAAAAAAGAGAAGTATTTTGTATTGTAAACTGAAAATAACATTGAAAAAGACAGCAGCATTTCAGACTTAGCTTAGGGTAAGTTTTTCATATACTATACTCATAATTTTTATACATGTTATCATTTAAGAATCATTTTACAGAATATAAAAAAATAACGTTGCATTTCCTCATGTGCACTTTTCAAACACAATCACAAATAGATCGGCTGCTCCTGCGGCCGATTATTATTTATTGATATCACTGACACAGCAACCTATAAAAAAAAATCACCTTTCTTCCTTTAGATACGTTGTCTATTGCTTGGTTACATTTAAACTTTTTAATTTTTGAAAGTAAGTAATCAAAATAAATGAATGAAATGAATGAATGGTTTTCAATACTTTGTTTCAATGAAAAAGTGTCTGCTAGTTGTTTTCCGAAAGATTTTATCATGTGTACAAGCCATATAGTCTTTGAATTTCGAAAAGTTTCCATTAAATACAACACTTTACATCGAAATATACAAATATTTCATTTATATTTAATATGAAAGACTTTGAATGAAAGACACATGACACGCTTACTAGAAAAATGTGACATTGGTTGAATGACCAACGTTCTGCGTCACATGAAGCCTGCTTTGAATTCATTTTGTTCTCTGAACTTCTTTTTATGATGAAGCATTTGCATACTAACGTTTATTATGTATATCGGAGTCGCAAATTTGCAGTTTATATCTCTGTATATCCTCTTTACCATTAAGAGATGACGGGGTTTACAAAATTACAATTTTCAGAATAACTTTTCTTTAAATGCACACAGATATACAGATCTTGTAAAATTAAACGAACAAAAAAATCCACATATCTATCTAAATATTATATATATAGCCTCTTAATTAATTGATCTTACTTTCACAAATTTGAATTATTGAGCATATCCACTATACAACGTATTTAAATTTCGACGAATATATTACACGGGGTGATAGCGAATTCAGAAGACTAAAGCTTGCCAATTGGTTTAAGCATTTTCTAAGTTAGAACAAGATGTGTTTGTGAAACACTGATGCTCCCGTATGGCAGCTTATGGCGAAGGTCAAAGTTTCTCAAATGCAAGTCAAACACAAGGTCAAAAGATCAAAAATGTTGGTATCCAAAGAAAAGTCTTGTCTAGAGGAATATACCTGTGAAATCTGAAAGCCCTAGCACCAACTGTTCAAAAGTTATGGCGAAGGTTAAGTAAGTAAAACGTCAAGGTCAAGGTTAAATGGGGCTCCAAGGGAAGGTCTTGTCACAAGTGATACACAGGTTCGTGAAATATGAAAGCCCCAGAACCAAACTGTTCACATGTTATGGCCAAGGTTAAAGTCTTTTAAAAGTAGATCAAACTCCAAGGCCAAGCTCAATGCCAAAATTGTTGATATCCAAAGGAAGGTCTTGTCACAAGAATTACATATGTGAAGTACGAAAGCTCTAGCCCCAACCATTCAAAAGTTATGGCCAAGGTTAAAGTTTTTCAAAAGTAGGTCAAACTCCTGGGTCAAGGTCAAAATGGTTGGTATCTAAAGGAAGGTCTTGTCACAAAGAATAAACATGTGAAGTTTGAAAGCCCAAACACCAACTGTTCAAAAGTTATGGCCAAGGTTATTAAAGTCTCGTAAAATTTTGCAAAAGTGGGTAAAACTCCAAGGTCAAGGTCAAAAGATCAAATATGATGGTACACAAAGTCATAGCTCCAACCAATCAAAAGTTATGGACAAGGTTAAAGGCAGACAAACAGACAGGCAGACGGATGGACAGGGCAAAAACTATATACCCCCGAATCTTCGATACGGGGGCATAAAAAGGCTTTCTGGGTATACTTTGCTGAAACAATTGTTAATTAAAGCATTAAATTTTAGTCAGAAGATGACATATTTTGTTTTCAAGAAATCATTACCTGGAGACTTCTCACAAATGAAATTTCTTTTCAAGTTACCGAAACGTTCTATTTGTCCTAATGCGTCAATATATGCGTATTCGTCTCGAGTTGTATTGTAAAAGGTAAGGTTTCCCAGTTGTCTCCCCATGGACGACCGGAAATAAGATGAATATTGACCTGTAGCCTTAAAACCTGAAAATAACACAAATTGAGAGATCTACTTATAAAGAACACGTAATTTTGAAACGTAATTAACCTACACTGAACACCATCTTTTTAATTGAAAATAAAAGAATAATGAAATACAATCCAAAAAGGCTACTAAAGTTTTATTTAAGAATCTCTCTCTCCCCCCCCCCCCCCCCAAGAAAAACAAGAGGCCCAGGGGACACATCGCTCACCTGAGCACTATGGCTAGGAAAAAGCAGAAATCAGTTCAGTCTTGAAAGGTTGAAAAGTTTAAATATAAATGTGGTTGGGGGGGGGGGGGTCATGAATTGAACAAATTTGAATCTACATTATCTGAGGAAGCTTCCATTTAAATATGACCAATCATGGCTTTGCTGTTCTTGAAAAGAAGATTTTTAAAGTTTTTTTCCTATATATTCCTATGTAAAACTTTGATCGCCCATTGTGGCCCCATCCGACCCCCGGGGGTCATGATTTGAACAAACTTGAATCTACACAACATGATGATGCTTCCGTGTAAATATGACCAATCATGGCTTTGCTGTTCTTGAGAAGAAGATTTTTAAAGATTTTTCCTATATATTCCTATGTAAAACTTTGATCGCCCATTGTGGCCCCACCCGATCCCCGGGGGTCATGATTTGAACAAATTTGAATCTCCACTACATGAGGATGTTCCATGTAAATATGACCAATCATGGCTTTGCTGTTCTTGAGAAGAAGATTTTTAAAGATTTTTCCTATATATTCCTATGTAAAACTTTGATCGCCCATTGTGGCCCCACCCGACCCCCGGGGGTCATGATTTGAACAAACTTGAATCTACACTATTTGAGGATGCTTCCATGGAAATATGACCAATCATGGCTTTGCTGTTCTTGAGAAGAAGATTTTTAAAGATTTTTCCTATATATTCCTATGTAAAACTTTGATCGCCCATTGTGCCCCCCCCCCCCGACCCCTGGGGGTCATGATTTGAACAAACTTAAATCTACACTATATGATGATGCTTCCATGTAAATATGACCAATCATGGCTTTGCTGTTCTCGAGAAGAAGATTTTTAAAGATTTTTCCTATATATTCCTATGTAAAAATTTGATCGCCCATTGTGGCCCCACCCAACCCCCGGGGGTCATGATTTGAACAAAGTTGAATCTACACTACCTGAGGATGCTTCCACATAAGTTTCATATTTTCAAGCACAGTGGTTCTTGAGAAGAAGATTTTTTAATGATGCCATTAATTTTTCACGAATTCTTAATTATCTCCCCTTGGAAGAAGGCGTGGCCCTTCATTTGATCAAAGTTGAATTCCCTTTACCCAAGGATACTTTGTGGCAAGTTTGGTTGAAATTGGCCCAGTTGTTCTGGAGAAGAAGATGAAAATGTGAAAAGTTTACAACAACAACAACAACGACAACGACGACAGACAACGGAAAAATTTTGATCAGAAAAGCTCACTTGAGCCTTTGGCTCAGGTGAGCTAAAAATCAATCCATCAGCTTTGAAATGTTTTATCCAAAAATATTTTTTTTCCCCAATTTCTTCAGTTTCATAAGTTGGAAAATAGAAAATGAGCACATTTCTTCACTTATCATCTTAGACACGTTTAGTTTCCCCACGTTTAGTTTCCCCTCCTCCCCCGCCCCCAAAAAAAGAATTCACACCTTTGTATTTTTTTCTTCCAAAAATAGAGCTTATTGCAGAACACCATAGCAATTTTAGTGTTTGTGACGTTCTGACGCTTTCCAGAAGCTTAAATACTACGTTACAATGGATTTGACCGAGATCGTTTCTCTCCCACGCTAGAGTCGGTCAACGGTAATACTCATCGCTGACGTTTAACGGCTTTTAAGGGGACCAAGTAACAGTCCAGCCGTCCTTTTATCGAATACGGTATTACCTACATAACTAAATGTCTTTTTATCCATTTTTAGTCCACAATGAATTTAAATTGGGTCTTTTATCTTAGTGATTTATTCCATAGCAAATTTTTACCTTTTTTCATATGTGCGTATAAAACGTAGTGCATGATTTATTGATACCAGGTTTTTGCGTAGCATTGTAGCAATTTACTACAAATTACTGCTGAAAATGGAGCCAGTTAGTCTAATGTACAGTTCACAATTGCAAAAAGCGATTCCATTTTTATTTTTTGAAATCATGAAGAAGTTTAGTTAATCAGGTACATAATATCTTTTTTTAAAAAGCCTTTCAATGATTAATTCTAACAATAAAAGCTTATGTTAGAAAAAAAAAGTGGCCGGAGGGGGACTGGGGCTGGCCCTCTGATATTATGTGCCCGTTAACGTATTTGAAGGGTAAAAACGAAGCGGATTGAAATGAGAGAATACCAGCCCCCCCCCCCCCCCTCCTTACACCTTTTTGACGCAAAATACTTGAGCCTGAGCTGCATGTACATGTAACGCAATTAAGATGTAGAATGATATCAACTTTATTGGTTTTAATTCAAAATCTTATACATGAGAAAAATAAACCTCTTGTTGTGGCCTTCAACTCGACATTTAGATATATCCGCTCCGTATTATCAAATTAACAATTATTTCCATTCATATGTCGACAAGATATGTCCCAGTGAGCTTGAAATAAAAGACGCCACAGAGTGTGACACATCTGTTTCATATTTGGATATTTTACTAGAAAAAGACGTAAATGGTAATCTAACAACAAAGCTTTTTCTATGGTCGATAAAATGACCTTGTCAGCAAATACAATCTATCATTAAGTCATATGCTAACTGACGGTTTTCATACTAATTGTTAGGCAGTTATTTACACGTGAATTGTCGACGGATTTTTCCGTTATTTACCGATCATTACAAGGAGCACATGGTAGGTGTGACCGGTCAGCAGGGGATGCTCACTCCTCCATGGCACCTGATCCCACCTCTGATCTTTTTGGAGGTCCGCGTTTGCTCTGCTACCCATTTGTATTGTTTTAATGGACTTTGAGCTTGAATACTGTTCGTTATATCCATATTTCATTTTTATAGTTCGATTGCGTTAAAACAAGATAAATATTCCATTTCAGGTATGAATTGGTGATAAATGTTCAAGAAGCCATTTTCTCCAAACTTCGTATTAGTGAATTGAAGCATACGTGTATAAAGAATGAAAACAAATTAGATCTAAGGATAAAAAATGCATCTCAAAATTATAAGACATTGTAGTAATATGTGATAAAGCTGTCCCACACTTGCTCAAATCGCACTTGTTTCCTTTCTAACCCCCCCCCCCCCCCCCCCATGGAGGATGTTTTCAAAATCTCTGTGTACGCTGTACTCAGTATTATGTTTCCTGTTATTGATATACATGTACTTACTGCATTCTCATTTTTATAAAGGATTGCGAAAATGTGTTTTGGAGTACCATTTTTACGTAATGCACTGTATTGCAAGAAAAAAAACCCTCCCAAAAACCCTGCGGCAACCTGTCTTATATGAGCGAGGATAATGGGTTAAAACTTGCATACTAATAAACTGATTTATAATTTGTGTAATTAAAAAAAACAGAGTGCCAATTTTTTTTCCCAAAACAATTTTCCCGCGGAGAAATTCATTTTTTATTTCATTGTGAATATGATATGTAGTCCGTGGGCTATACAATCTTGTCATAATATTGCCTATGAAAATAAATTAAAATATCAGATCATATATACATATATTGCATAATAAAGACTCAGTAGAGTGAAATACATGTATGCAGCCACTAAACGTTTCCTGAGAGAGAGAGAGAGAGAGAGAGAGAGAGAGAGAGAGAAACTATCATACACACGTTTTTTTTCCTATGCAGATATGAACATGTACATGTACTAATTTATTCTCTTTAGAGAAGTGGACAGGCTTTCGCCTACATCCACTTCTCTTCGCAAGCCTTCATGTTTTGATTCTGGAAAACGTGTAAATCTCGAACCGGTGACGGTCTACACTTCAACTGACATTTCGTCTAAAATACGTCTGAATGTACGTAATAGACGTGTTATATTATCAATTTTAACATAAATACACACAATTGTCACAAGAAAACTGACCTTTAAGTATTGTTAATCCATTTTCACAAGTTCTCCATCCCGGATTTAAATTATGTGCAAGTAACTCTTGAAGTATTCAAAAATCTCTAATTCGGATAAAAATGGAAACTATTTTTACAAAATAATAATGAAACGAGAGAAATCGTCTACTCTGTTTAAACTAACGAGACAGTATTTCCTCAAGTTTCGTTCAAATTCTTTTGATCTTTGTTTTAAATCTTTTTTTCATTTCTCGGGAAAGGTAGAGTTAATATCGTTTAAAAATAAAAGAAAATATTTTTTAGTATTGTCAGTGAGGAAGTAATGAAGTATTTTTTAAGCTCAAATTTACATTTAAATTGTATTAAAATAGTAAAAATAAGTAAAGGTAATAATATTTATTTTGAATAATATGCTAAATCAAAAGTGAATTGTCCAAAACTTTTTTTGAACATTAAAATACGTCTTCGCCAATTTTTCCAAATTATCCGACTTAAAATTTTCAATTTTTTCTAATAAGCTGTGGTAGATAAACATTAGTTTAAATCCGGAATGGAGAACTTGTGAAAATGGATTAACAGTATTTAAAGGTCAGTTTTCTTGTGACAATTGTGTGTATTTATGTTAAAATTGATAATATAACACGTCTATTACGTACATTCAGACGTATTTTAGACGAAATGTCAGTTGAAGTGTAGACCGTCACCGGTTCGAGATTTACACGTTTTCCAGAATCAAAACATGAAGGCTTGCGAAGAGAAGTGGATGTAGGCGAAAGCCTGTCCACTTCTCTAAAGAGAATAGTACTAATTTAGCATTTGACATAATTATTGACAATTATGAATACGAATACCCTTCTCGGCAGAATTATTCGTTATGAATACTTATAGTACATTACACAGGTATAATAAGGTTGTTTGGGGTATACATGTAGATCTATGTACTGTCACGAACAGTTAAATGTTCATTCTGTTCTAGAATTAGCTCTATAATGTTTATCTACAGAATTATTCAATATATATCATACTGCAATAGGCACATAGGAGTTTATTGTTACCTTTAATTAGTCCCCTACCGGTGAAACCGGAGGGGACTATAGGTTTCCTCTGAGTCTGTCCGTCCGTCTGTCTGTCTGTCTGTCCGTCTGTCCCTCTGTCTGTCTGTCAGTCTGTCCCACTTGGTTTTCCGCACTTTTCTTCTAAACGCTTGTAGATATTGAGCTGATTTTTGGTATGTAAGTGTATCTTGATGAGTTACAGATCAAGTTTGCATTTCGTTCCGCTTCATTGATTTTTGACGGAATTACGGCCTTTTCAATTTCTAGGGGTTTTCCGCAATTTTCTTCTAAACGCTTTCAGATATTGAGCTGATTTTTGGTATGTGACTTTACCTTGATTAGTTATAGATCAAGTTTGCATTTCGTCCCGCTTCATTGATTTTTGACGGAATTATGGCATTTTCAATTTTTAACGGGAACCAGATTACACTTGCCGGTAGGGGAGTAGTATTGCTAATGCAATACTCTCAGAATGCTTGTTTATTATATACTCTTTGGACTTGGAAATAATGTTTCATTTTTCATTCGTAAGTCTGAAGAGTTCCACTTATTTACAAAATTTGGTATTCAAATATCCAGTCTACCGTGTTTTCCGATTGGATACGAGTTTTGTAAAATTAATTCTGTTTGTTTTCATCCCAAAGCATTTAGCAAGGGAATTGCGAAAATACAAGTTAATATCATATCATATCAGTATTTGTCGTTCAACAAAGTTCAAAATGAATTTAATAGTGTTTTCTTCAAGAAAAGATTTCTGTGTGTGTCCGTGATTTTATACCATATAAGCAGAATTTTTAGCGAGGATTTAATTTTGGCATTATTAGCGAGGGTGTGGAGATCGCTAATATTGAATATCGCTAAAAATTAATTGCGTTTTATTTGTAATAGCTTCTTTAGTAGACACATTAAAATCGCTTAAATTGTTTCTCGCTAAAAATTAATTACCATTATTTAAAGATAAACCGCAAAATTTGCGTCTCGCTAAAATTTCCACTTATACGGTATTTTGTTATATAACGGATACTCAAAAAAAAACAAAAAAAAAACAAAAAAACAAAACAAAACAAAACAAAAAATAATAAAAAAGCATACAAACAAACAAACAAAAAAACAAAACAAAACAAATTCTGATGAATACACCATGGATTTAGCATATTTTACCTATTATCCATCTTTGTGTCGATGAATCAGACCGTACAATCGACAATAAGTCTTGCAGAAATACAAGTTCTTCTAGATCATCAACAGAAACCAACGAGGCTGCATGACTAGCACAGTACTCTAAAGCAACCTTAACGTATTTCACCGAGAGAGCAAATTTGTAGCACGAGGAATACCCAGGCCTCTTTATCCAGGAAAAGGGACAGTCTGTTGAGTTAAAATAATTGGACATACTACATTTAGCTAATCAAAGAATGTCGGAATAATTAATTCACAATTTTGCCCATCAAATTAAATAATTCAGTGGCCAACAGTTTTTTTGTGGGAGGATTTACCAATTATTTTGTAAAGAAAGTAATATAACGTATATTTTTGTATAAATGAGAAATTTATTCAAATGGAAGTCAATTTTGCATATTTTCTTAACAATTCGTGGCACAATTTCGAGATGGAAAAAAAACTTACCCGGATTTGGACAAAATGTCGGTTGTGATGAATTCAATAACATTACATTTATGTTACCAATTCCTTGTCGTTCGAGGACTTTACAATTTGCAGCTCTTATCTCATTTAAACCTGAAACTAAAAGTAAAACTAATTTGTAAAATTGGATGTATTTCACAAGGAAAAAAATCTGTTTTATTTTTTTTATTTTTGATGCAATAATGATAATCATTTTCATAGCAAACCAGTTTTTAAGCTGTATTTGTTATTATTTCCTCCGCAGAGCTGGTGTTTATTTCCTGGACATGGAGACATACATTCTGACTCGGGTAGATGGGTTACATGTGACTCAACACTAGTGTTGGCACAGAGACATTCAATCCCCGTCAGTAAGGCGTTTACGGAGAGTTGACCACCACAAACCTGAATACACAACTGTCTGTTCATTTGTCCATTTGTATATGTGGACACTTCAATATCTGGAGTGTTGCTGGCATCGAAATCAACGCATTTGAACATCCCTACCAAAAGGCAAAGTATTATAACCATGGCACGATTAAATTCAGAACACAAGGCAAAAAACTCTTTGAGAAAAAATTAAAATTTCATGTGAACAATTTAGTTTACCTTGTTCTTTACTACAAATAAATGGAGTCTCATTGTCACAAAGTCCATCAACCCAAGATCCCTTGTGAAAATATAAACAGTCATAATCATCAAAGGCTGGATTGCCAAGCCTAAAGAAAAACTCATTATTCAAGCTTCCATCTAACCATACATAAGACGACATGGAATGAGCATCTGTAGCACCAAAGCGCCATTTCAGATTGTATAGGTCCGAGTGAAAATCTGTTGAGTGAGAAAAAAAAATTTCCATAGTTTTATCAAATTTTTTTTTTTTTAGTTTTTCAAAGAAAAACATATGCAGTTTTTCAAGCAACTTTGAAATAAATGTTTTTTTTAAATGTTACTCCTCTTTCAGTTTTGGTCTGAATTCAACAAAACGTGATATGCAACTGGAGGAAATCAAGGTTTATTATTCTAATTATCGATGTTATCACAGCTACAAAAAAGAAGAAAATCTTTACAAATGCCACTTCGTTCATTCTCAACAATACTTGGAACATGATTAGATATCAGGATTCAAAATTCTGTAAATATAATTATAAAAAAGGTTTTCTTTCAAGCCCAGGTGTTACTTTTTCAGAGAGGTGATATAATCAAAATAACTTTTTCCGATTGAATTTCTGGTCTGATCGATATTTTTTTTAATCTCAATTAAAATAATTCCCCTCTTTTTCCTTTCTTCATCTGTTGTTCAAGTGAAGGGCCAAGCCCGTCAAAACATTTGGGTCACAGAAAATAAGAGTATTCTCATAGAAAATCTCCCATGAAGGTAATAAAGAGTTGCATAAATTCTTACTTCGTATAAAACTATCCACGAAGGCCATTATTCCCTTGTTTCTTAGGGGAGCAAGTGAAGAATTCTTTGACAAACAGTGGGACAAAGAATCACTGAAGTTCATGAGTTGCATTTCAAACCAGTAACAGCTTCCTGCGTACCCGACCCACCCTTCTTCACAAGAAGTTCCATCTAAAACAAAATCATTCTTATATTGCCTGAGGAAAAGTTCTTATAAACCAATTCATGAAACTCATATATATTTTTCTTTAATTGTAAGGCATGTTTATCAAGGCAGTATTGCTACCATATTCAAACACGCTCGCGCAAGCGCGAACAAAGTAATTCAAACTATACCAACAACAAAACAAAAATATAACAGACTTTTCTTAGAAGAACTAACCTACAAAGCTGCAATATACAGGAACAACCATCTCCTTCAAGTAGTACCAGCCGTGGTTTCGTACTTGTTTTTCGTACAAATTCTCACAAGTTTTCTCCCGCCACAGATACAAAGCTACATATGTACAATTCAAAATAGATTAAAGCTGTTATCAGTATTAGGATGACTAATATTTTTCTCATTCTTACAAACATACCAGATATGTTTCTCATCCTTAATCACATGTATTACATAAACCATATTTCATGTGTATATGAACATTAAATCATGCGATTATAAAATTTTCAATCGCTGTAAACATTCAATCATTTGTTTATAAAGGTCAGTCGCAGACACTACAGATTTTTATATGACCACAAGAAAATGGATAGATTAATAACATTTTATATGTATCCGTACCTAGATTGTGCACGGTTATCGAATTGTCGGATTCGGTGGAGTTATCCGGGACAAACGCCCCGTTATCTGTTGTATTAGTACACTTGCACTCTCCATATTGTACAAAGGCATAATATGCATTTGCACCCGAACAGATTTGCTTGCAGGCAAATGCTTCGTCCCCATACACAGTGGTTGAAAGCGAGAACTGTAAAGTTCCCACACTGATAAATGAACTCACCCAGTCTCCTGGCAAAGGAATAAACAATGCGTAAATCATATTAATACATTAATAAAAGATCCTAAACCACTTATCCGACCATTTTACTTCTTGTGTTCTTCTTGATGTTTACTATTACCATTGCACATGATTGAAATTCATACATATTCCAGAGACTCACTAGATGTGTAGACAGAGAGTTGGCCATTGGAACCCCCACAATAATAAGGACTTGCTTTGTTTCTGACTGGACATATCACATTACAGTCGCTTGAGTTTGGTGATGCTGAACCGGTTACAAGGTCACCACAGTAGCAAATGTTCAAAGAAAGCCCTGAAAAAGATTGCACATATACAATAGACAACGACAGCCCTGGAAAAAATATGCAAGTATGCAGTAGGTACGGTGGTTATATATAAACTAGCACTTCAACTCTCCCTTAGATTTTTGGTTGTGTAGAGTTCATTTGTACAACGGTTATGATTACTAGTATATTACAATTTTCATTTAAAAACTATTCTACTTAGTTAACATGAAGTTATTATCTGAAGAATTCTAAATATCATACCAGCAAATCTAGCATTTTCCGTTGTACATTTCAATCGACAATTTGAAACCAGGGTAAACTGTGAAATAACTGTGAAGTTCTTCTGCGGATAACAACCCACGTATATATCAGCGGCTACAAGAATTCAAAAGGATTGTGTTATTACTGCCAAGAAACAGACAAGACCAAAATAAAAATTGGACACATAAAATAATTTTAAAAGATATACTCAATAAAATATCAATGCATATAAATCTCCAATGTGGTCTAACCCATGCCATGTTAAACAATATAAATATTAGCACAGATTTTTTTTTACTCACATCCAAGATCGTTTGCAAAGAATGAGAATTCAACATATGGCAAAATGATTGAAAAAGGTTTCCAAAATCAAAGACCTAAGTCTCTGTTCAAAACTAAGAAGCTTTTCTCGGCTTATTTCGTTCATCAGTATTTTCGCATGTTCTAAACTTGTTCTAAACTAAACAGTGGTCAATGGCCAACAAACCATTTGCATTAAAAAAAGATTTCTGCTATATATTACCATGTCAAACTTTGATTCCCCATTTCTGCCCCACCCTTCATCCATGATTTGAATAAATTCCAATCTACAGGAGGATGCTTCTGAATTATTGTGACTAATAATGGTTTGCTGTTCTTGAGAAGAAGATTCTTAAAGAGATTTCCTATATATTCCTATTTAAAACATTGTTCCCCTGTTGTGGCCCCGCTCTACCCCCGAGGTGTCATTACTTGAACAAACTTGAATCTACAATATGTAATGAAGCTTTCACCTAAGTTTCACCTTTTCTGGGTTAGTGGTTCTTGAGACTGTGGTAAGATCTTTAAAAGATACCACCATATTTTCACGAATTCTTAATTATCTCCCCTTGAAAGAGGGTCTGGCACTTCCTGTGAACAAACTTTAATTCATTTCACCAGTGGCCCAGTGACTCTGAAGAAGTAGTCGAAAACGTGAAACATTTACAGACAATAAACGACAGACAGAGGCGGGCGCCCGACAGAGAAGCCCATTTAAGCCCTCGGTCCAGGTGAGCTAAAAAAAAATCAGGTCTCCCACTATTTTGATCTATGTACATTGGTATTTTTTAAGAAAATGTTTTGAATTTTTTAAACCAAATATCGTTTTTCCCCACTTTTACTTACAATTGCATGACAGTGCTCCTTTATAATCTGTCCCTTTCAATGTCCAGTTGCCATCCTCCATACAGATATATTCCCCCCAGTGTAACCCCCTCTTCCTGCAACCCTCTTCACACACAAACTCTATCGTTGCTCCATATGTGGTCTTCGAGTTTGAGTTATAGTCTGTCTGTATCTTATCTTCGACTAAAGGAGGCCCACAGTCTACGGCTGTATGACATTGTGTATTGAATTACTACATAACTGAAGAAACCACATACTAGTATTCAAAAGAACCAATTTCACAATTGAAAAATGACATTTGACCACGATATGACGTATAAAATTTATATGTAGCATTTCAAGCTTAAATCATATATTGACTAAAACAACAATATATTTTTAAAATGAAAGATACGTTTTACAAAAATATCTTACGAGTAAGACCAAAAAAAAAAAAAAAAAAAAAAAAAAAAAAAAAAAAAAAAGAGTCAAATCCAAGCTAAAGATTGAAACAAAAAATATTGTTTCTGTTGTATTAGAAAAATATTTCAGAGAAAAATATTATATTTATAAAAGAAAAAATACAGAGATGTCTTATTTTGTCTTGATCGTAATTTTATAAGACATTTCCTTGTGTTTGACTGGATATAAAGTTACAAGATAAAACAAGCATTATATGTTGAACGTATGTTCGTGACATGAAAATTCAGCAGTTAACTTACTACGTTTATGTTTCAATGATATGTTTTGCCATCCTTTTCAAAATGTTCGTTTTAAACAAATGTTTTAAACAAATGTTGATATATTTATCAACATAGGCGCTAAAATCAATACACAGCTGAATGTCATGCGTTTACAGTATTTGATCATCGATAATTTTAACATTTTTGTTGCACTCCTGATCAAGAGCATGCAAGTCTTTAAAGAAGAATTGGGAGGCAGAAATTATATAGAATGTCTTTTGTTGTTTTAGTGAAGTTGTGGTGGAATAACTTGAATTTTATAACAATTTTTCGATGTATATTTTTAAACATTTCATAACAAAATTAAAAGAAAAGGTAAAACACATCTGGATTGATAAAACTAAATTTAGACAGATTTCAGTAAATACATGAAAACTGTCAATAATTTAGTACTAAATTATTCAAATATATTATTATTAATCAAATAATACGTATTATTGTAAATAGAAGTCATTTCATCATTGAATTTGGATCTTTAAAGAAATTGTTGCACTCCTGACCGTAGAAATATTTATAGACAGATCCTGTAGTTGATAGATTTATTTGGTAAAATTAACTTTGTGTATTTATTTTCCAAAATAGAAAGCAAAGAATCCTATACTGACAATAGTCTTTTTCATGTTGGGGTGCAAAAAATCAAATGTTTTACTCGTGACATAAATGGCTATGCACAGATACTTGACTCTCATTAATGCTGCTTGTAATTTTTAACTTTTATAATGATACATCAGTTATCGTTTTACGCTATAGAAATTCTATTTTGACTAACGTGACTAACTTGTCAAGAGATTTTTAAAATCAGTGTTTTTGGCAACTCTGTTGTACTCCTCACGTGGTATACCACTTTTTCCAACATCAGCCATAACAATAGCTTGGTCAAACTAAAGTAACTACAGTCTTAATGTAAAGCTCAATACATTGAGTTTTGCAAGGAAAGTCTTTATTTCCAACATAAATCATTTTTTTCAAAATGTAACAAAAATGTGCTGAACGCCTGACATTTTTAGCATCATTTTGGGGCATTTTTGTTACTTAAGATATCAATGAGACATTTTGCATGTATTTAGACAATATCAAAAGACATATGCTGAGTTATAGAAATTTCTTCACATCGTCTGTATTTTTACAGCAGGTTGATAAACAGGTTGATAAACATGCTTCCAGTCATTTTTTAAAATTCATCCAAATATCTTTTCCTTTCCAGTTTTGTTGCATTAGTACTTAAAGTTGGGTAGTTGAAGCAAATGAATTAATTACTTACGTTTCCTATTCTCTGACACTTACGTTGGCATATGAGTTCCGTTCCATTCCAGACACCGTCTTGTGTACAGTGAAGATGAGCGTTTCCATCTGACTGGTAGTAACCAACGTTACAAGCATAAACAACACTGTCATTGGACAGAAAAACCACGTGGGAATTGTTCGTTACTGTCACGTTACATGGCACTGAAAAATTGTTAAACTGTTATGTAGCTGCAGAACTGTAGCTCCCCGAAAAAAAATGTACCCAAGTCTATGACTAATTTACTAACATGTGCAGGACAAACTTACCGATATGTATTAACAAGTATTTTTGATTACCTAAAAATCAGTCACAAAATTTTCAACAATTTAGAATAAATAAATAATAATGGAAAATAAATAAATAAACAATCAATATCATTTTTGTGAGAAAATTTTCCACCTAAAGATTTCCCGGAAAGTAGTCCATGCAATACAACTCTACACTTGTTAATTTTTCTGGGCTACAGGTGTCACTTAGGATACTACTGTTTCACTGTTTAAGATCAGTGTATTGTATATGATCTTGCATTTATATTTGATAGCTGTCACTGAAACTAAGCTGCGAATGATTTTGTATTCATACACATGATAATTTCAGGTTGTATTATCCCAAGTTGATAATTTCGAATGCATTATAAATTTCTACACGTCAAAGGTTTGTCATTCATGAACTAGGATCTTTTTGGACAGAACAAAACTTTTTGTTTCAATTCGTGTGTTTTGAATTTTACTTCACATTCAAAACTATTTATCAAAACGTTCATAGAATATCTTCCAAAAAAGAGATGAAGACCAAAGTTCTTGGATATGTCGATTACATTGTGTTTGGACTCTCTCTGGTAATATCGTTGGTAATTGGGGTCTATCACTCTCGCTCTGGTGGGAAACAGCGCTCGGTACAAGAGTACCTGATGGGGAATCGCCGATTCACTTGTCTTCCGGTGGCACTGTCGCTGCTTGTAACATTTCAGTCAGGCATCAGTTTGTTAGGACTTCCGGTGGAGATTTACTACTATGGAACCCAGATCTACATGGGGATCGTGGGTCTGGTTGTCGGCTATACCATCGTCGCCATTTTCATTGTCCCTGTTCTTCACCCACTTCAAATCACTAGTGTGTATGAGGTAGGAAATTACATTTTGTCTTTATTAAATATAAAATACGTTGCTCTTTTCCTCTTTTTTAAGACTATTTGCTTGTCTTACTTCTATTTGAATGCAGTTTTCTAAGGTGTTTGTCCTTGCAGTATCTGGAAATGAGGTTTCAGTCTAGAGCAGTAAGACTGGTAGGGTGTCTTCTAGGACTTCTGTTTACGGTACGTTTTATTTAAGTTTTCAGATAAAAAGTTCTATGCAAGGTACACAATACAAGAAAAGTATTGGATACAATAGGTTTATAGAGTTTTATTTTTATTAATAAGCAGCTATTAAACATCATGATATATATATATATATATATATATATATATATATATATATATATATATATATATATATATATATATATATATATATATATATATATATATATATCTATATTATATATATATATATATATATATATATATATATATATATATATATATATATATATATATATATATATATATATATATATAAACATTGTATTATACATTATATTATAAACAATTTCAATATATTTACAATTGACAATTTATGATTTTGTAAATAGATGACATACATGGCTGTTTGTCTCTTCCTTCCGGGCCTGGCAATGGAGTCAGGTAATATGGATTATTTAATTTGAAATGAAATGTTCCATAACTCATAACTCAAAATTATAATTTCATCTATAAATGAAAAGCAAATGTTACTTAACATTTTGTAAACTTAATTTAACATTTTTAAGCCTTTAAATTTTAAGATCATTTTGACTAAATTATAAAGAATCCTTTGAAAGAATTTAAAAGAGGTAGGTCCTAAAACGTACTTTGTGTCATACTTTCCCATTAAGCAACAAGGAATGGTAAGGGCTCGATTCGACATTGAAGGTTTAAATTTTACATCCTCTGATAATACGATGGAAGAATCGATGATAGTATACACAAAGGTGGAGAAAGCTGAATAACCGAGTCGGCTCAGTTTATGCAAATTTCCATCGTAATAATGCACAAGCATGCCCATTTTGCTTTTGTACAATTTAAAAAAAGTTTTTAAAAGGCATGATTAAAGTTTTCTTTCTTTTTGAAGGCATATGAAAAATTCGGGAGAAAATAACTTCTTCATGTGTTTTTCATAAAATTAACATAGTTTGACAAAATAAAATGCTTGATAAAAAATGTTCATTTTGAATTTCCTTTTTTCTTTTGTTTGGTTTTTATGTTGTACAGAGGGGAAAAATCGGCAAGTAGCAAATATCTTTCATGTAACGTATCTCTATCTTCCTTTCAGTGACTGGATTCCCCAAATGGGCTTCCATATCCGTTGTTGCTGTCGTTGTTATAATTTACACTATGTTGGTAAGTCAACAGCCACCCCCACCCCACCCTCTACAATAAATATCTTTGAATAAAAGAGCAGATACTGTCAAACATATTACATTATCTACCATTCTACAGAAACAAATAAACAAAGATGACGTCATACCCCAAATCTTTTGTAGGGAGGAATTAAAGCCGTGGTGTGGACGGATGTGTTTCAGTTTGTCGTTATGTTGGCCGGTATTTCGGTACTCCTAATAAAGGTACTAATAAATAAACTGGTTGGCAGAGTACCAATAAATCTTACTAATACGTGTTAGTTTTATACTGCAGTGTTTAATGGGTTTTTTTAGGTCTATTATCAGAGAAGTGTAGAGGAACTATGGGAAACAGCCAAAATCGAAGATAGGCTTCAATTTTTCAAGTACTTTTAAGAAAAAAAAAAACGTGCATGAATTTCATACAAAAATGTTATTTTTTATATAATATTCTCCTTCTTCACATTCTCGCCCTCGCTTCTTCAACCAAAATGTAACTTATCAAGTGGTCCAGTTTACTGTAGTACACAGACAATATACCACAGCACCTAACATTAAAAAATTTTACATCATTTTGAAAGTTTTGATGCTGATCCGACGAATAGACAGACATTTTGGGCAGTTACCATAGGAACTATTACCTCATGGATAGGAAACGCTTTGAGCCAATCCGGAATTCAAAGGATTTGCGCAACCGAATCTATAGGAGAAGCAAGAAAGTAAGTCTGTATATCGCAAGCTATATGATCAGATTTTCCGGAAGTTCCTATCAGCCTTATAACGGCGTGGTCAATGTGGTCTGAGTTGAAACCCTATTATGCCCTTTCTCTTCGACAATGAATATCAAACTATTGTTTACTCTATTAATTACAATAAATAGCATTATATTTATTTACTAACGATGAAAAATATATTTTTCTTTAGGCTCATATAATCATCCATTAGCCAATTAAATTTTCACGGTTATAGATCAATAAACCTTTGTAAGGGAGTATTTCCTAGTGGTTTCATAATAAATTTGTTTTATTATACAGAGCATGGATCTTCATAATCCACCTTTTCACATACAAATTGGTTCTACATTCCAATTAACTTTTATTTCAGCATAAAATAGAGAGTGTAAAAGTTTGCGGTCAACCAATTCAAAGTGCTTAGTTTTGATTTGAAAATGATAATCTTCACTGTCCTAAAATGTTTGCATTTAAAAGTACCCTTACAGTTACAACGGCTATCTAGCCACAACAGAGTCTGTATACATATGAAAAGAACATTGCAACTGTGCAAGGAAATTTCATGAGCAATGCATACTTCAACCCTTACATTTGAACGTTTACCTAGCATATTGCAGAGAGAAACTCTTAATAAAATCCCCACACCCGATATTTCTTCTAAGTATATGTACCTTTAGGCGACAGGTGTTACAAACATCTCCAGATTTTGATACAAATTGCTTCATTTTAACATGCATTACTTTTAATTAATGACTCTTTCAGATCGGTATTTTTTAACATACCAGCGGCTGTTTTATATGAGACTCTGATGACTTTTTTGGGTGTGACTATGTTTGCTTATTTCTCGCTTGCCAAATGCGGTTTACAAGGCGCCGGATTGGTCCATAGTTCGAATGAGGTTGGTATAACCGCTTGAGTTGTAGTGTTTTAGTACTATCTCTTCACCTTGGCGATTATTAGGTTATGTCAATTATGTCCTTAAGCTTAGAGTTAACTCGTCATTGTAATTGCTAAAAATTCGTTGTTCAATACAAGATCGTCAGTTGGAAACTGAACCTTGCACTGTCCACGCCGGATCGTGTAGAAAAATCTAAGTTTTGGGTCGTTAATAAATTATTAAGAGAATACCGACTTTGCATTTCTACTAGGGATGTCAACGAATAGTCGACTATTCGACTATCAGTCGAATGGACCGACGATCGAATAAGAAAACGACATTCGAATATTATTTTAACTAAATAAATGCAATAAATGAGTGATAGATGAGATGGAATTCTCATCAAAAAAATGAGAAACAGTCTTTTCTCATAGACAGTCGATAATTTTCCTCAACAAAAAACGGTAGATTTTCCATGTACGTATAGAAAGTACAGCAATTATAAATGCTTCACTACTGCGAGAATTTATTGTCAGTAATGCCTGTGTTGTTTTTGTAATAAATTACCAACCAATATAATGGGCTTTGTTTGTAAAATTATTCATTGGACAATTATGTTATGTTATTTTAAGTTTGCTCAAATGCAAGGAATAAACCTGTTTTGATACATCGATAATTATTAAAACAATGCGCTTACATTTTAAACTATTTGAGGAGATTTTGATAGCCTCCCCCCCCCCCCCCTTTCCATTATATTTCATAATAAGCTTTAAAAAATATCGGCTTGCAATTTTTTAATGCTTACTAAATAAAAAATGACTGCATGTACAGGCCGATTTATGAATTCTATTTACGGGGAAATAATAAATTTTGGAGAATTAGGTTTCTAAATTTATTTCATAGAATCATGCTATCCACGTGTTACGTTGCATTAATTTTGATGTTACTTTTTAAATAGATTTAAGTAAAAAGGTTTCTGAGTATATACCAATGAAGTATGAAATAAAATTTTATTTTCAGAAAATGTTCCGAATATTTGACTATCGTTCGAATAATGCAATCGAATGATCGACTAAGGAAAATAAATATTTTGACATCCCTAATTTCTACCGATTATATTAGAGGCACTCACTTTTGGTCTGCAAAATACTGTTCGAGTACTTTTAGAAATCAGTACTGATTTATAAATGTTTGAGTTATTACATTTCTTTGGGCTTTAAATGTTTTGAAAAATTTAAAGACAACTATATGTTCAACTTTTCTATCAAAGCAATCACTTTAATCTGGCGTATCGATCATTGATTTTAACATTATATGGTTTGCTTGGTTGTAAGTAGCTTCCTGTTCATTACTGAAACAGTCAGAAACAATCTAAAATATCTATACGGATAACAGCCCAGATACAACGGAGTGATCCTTTTCATACTGGCATTTAAAAGAGTATGAACCATATAACCTTAGTGTTAATTAACTTCTCTCTCTCTCTCTCTCTTTTATGAAAATATAATCTTTCACTTTTTGTTGCAAATTGTAAATACAAATGTATATCTCCCTTCCGACAAAGAAGATATTTTGTTTACTTTAATTACGTTCTCATACAACTGTGTTTGGGTCATAATGTGTAACCAATATATCTTTAATTTTGAAATGTGGGTGTGTCATCATCAAATATGAAGAAAACGAACAGTAATCAAGCTCAAAAGTCCATTGAAACAATACAAATTTGGAGCAGAGCAAACACGGACCTCTAAAATATAAGTGTTGGGATCAGGTGCCATGGAGGAGTTAGCATCCCTTGTCGACCGGTCACACGCGCAGTGTGCTCCTTGTCATGATCGGGTAAACGGAAAAATCTGTAGACAATTCAGTGTGAAAATAATGGACTAACAATTGTATGAAACGTCAGTTAAACTGATTCGACTTAATGATAGATTGTATTTGCTAAAAAGGTCATCGTATCAACCATAGAATTTGCGAAATGTTGACTTTAAACGAAACTGTTGATATTCTTGATTTATCTTATTTGTCAGTAAATTGCCTAGTTTTGGAAATTGTTCATAAGTAGAGCATGCGGTTGCGTATCGAATCAACTTGGAGCCTTAAAATAAAAATTAAAAAAGAAACAACTTCGGCACGTTTGTAATACAGAGACCATTCAACTCATTTGAAAAGTTTATGATAATTTTTTGATAAATTGTTTTCGTTTGTTCATGAAGTTGATAGTATTTTACTACCAAGACTGTTGATTTTCTCTCAGATTGTGCCGTATTTCATGATGGAGCAGCTGTCCGATATTCCCGGATTGGCGGGACTATTTCTTGCGAGTTTGTTCAGTGCTACATTAAGGTAAGTTGATAATATCAATTTTAAATCAGAACTACAACAACCGACAAAATAAGGTACTGTTTAACTATTGAAAGTTCACCCCCGCCCCTTTGATTACATGATATTCTTTAATGTCATCAAATGACCATATTACGGTTTAGTGTCTAAAGTTACTGACTAAAGTAACTAGTACAACATTTATTGAGAAAAAGGGCTGCAAAGTCTTCACATAGTTAACTGAGATTTATTTGTTACATTTAGACAAGACACTCTGTTAAAAATACAGAAAATACGGTTAAATACAATACGGAGATAACGAACAGTATTCAAGCTCAAAGGTCCATTCAAACAATACAAATCAGGAGCAGAGCAAACACGGACCTCTAAAACAACAGAGGTGGGATCAGCTGCCATGGAGGAGTGAGCATCCCCTGCCGACCGGTCACACCCATCGTGTGCTCCTTGTCAAACTAAATCAATTTTACCGTACATTGCGAAATTTGTAAAGAATTTAAAATTAAATTGTCAAAAGAAGTAAAACTTTGGCTTAAGTGCAGATGCGATTTCATGTATAAAGATACCCTCATCCAATATACAATCTAGAAGATAAAAAAAGTCTTAAATATAACAAGATTTTTTGCTATGTACTCCTGTGAATTACTGAAATATCTCTCAATCTTTAGGTCTGAAAAGATTTCTTTCTCAAATTGATATATCTCTCTCTTTTTAAAAAAAAAAAAAAATAGAAATAGAAATCTCATTATGATTAAGAAATGTCCTATGTTGAATACATATCTTTCTAATAAAAAGAGTTATTTCGGTTACCATGAGAGAAATCTTGTTTTACAAAATAAAGAACTACGTGCTATGAAAGATCTTTTAAACATCTAAGACCTTCTCCACAAAGAACATACTTCTCATTACATTCAAGAAGAGAGAGTGAGTTACTTTAGCAAGTGAATTAAGAAAAAGCGACCAGGGAATATTTTCATTTTGATCTGCCTTTGGAATTTTAAATAATTTTTTGTTCTCAAAAATAAAAAGTCAGATCTTAAGGGTGGGTCGGCCTTCATTTACGAACGAAAAAAAAAAAGGTCATATAAGACAATTCATTTCAATTATGAATTGTCTCACTCATTTGCTGTTACCAGTCTTGATAGACACTCGTTATCAAATACTAAGTTCATACTTATTTATTAAACACATTGGTTTATTGTTTAAGGAAAATCGCGATGCTACGAAAAGTGTAAGCACATTTTTGTTTTACAGTTTTTATTGCATTTGTCTTCTTTCCCTTCCCGAATTTAAATATACCTGTGTCATCACCTAGCTTTGATTGCTATAAAAACAGAGAAATATGAGAGAGATCACCAAGTACTTACTTATTCTAGAGCGATACAATCAATTCTAGACAGTTCGATAACAATTAAGTTGTATGAGGTATAATTATTATACGTATTGTTCAATTGCTGCAGGTTTCCCAGAATATATCGTTGGCAAGATTTACATTTCACTGTGCTGTTGCTAGTATGCTAATTCGGTTTTTATTTTGATAGTGGTAGCGTGAAGTATTTGGTAAATTGAGGGCATCAGACGGACATGTACTTTTCATAACGGTATAATAAATAATATCCAATTGGGATTTCAAGCTGACATATCCTCTTCCTTGCATGCTAGTAAAAAAATGTATCTTTTTTTTTAGAAGCAAAAATATCTTTTTTCGAAACAAAAATATCTTCAAAAGGAAAAATTTATCTCTTTTACTTATGAAATGTCTCTTTCTAAAATTCACAGACATCTCTTATACAGTGGAAGACCCCCCCCCAAAAAAAAAAACCCTCCCCCAAGAAACAAAACAAAACCAAACAAAAAAGAAAAAAAAAACAGAGGTAATCACCTCAATGAATGTTATGTGTATATACATATAAGTAAGGTAAAGTTTCGTACCAGTAAATGTTCAATGCGATCCATTAATCAAAAGTAAGTTCATTACAGTGACTTCTGCCAGTCAGCACGAGAATCTTCATGCATTATCCATTCAAGTGCGATCAAGGAAAGATATATAATTACTTGGGAATTGACCTGCTCCAAACATTTTATTATAGGCACTTGTCAAGAAAATATACATGTTTTTTGTTTGTTTGTGTATTGTTTAACGTCCCTCTCGAGAATTTTTCACTCATATGGAGAGGCCACTACTTGCCGGTGGAGAGCTACAAATTTTGACCTATACTCGGCACTCAGGGCCATTGAGCAGTGAGGGATCTTTTTCGTGCCAGCACCTACTACGACACGGTACCTCGGTTTATACAGTCTCATCCGAAGGACCGGTCTCCACGTCCCACTATGGGATTCGAACCCGCGACGTAAGGATCAACTCCTTACTCCGCGACTATAGAGCGAAAGCTCTAACCACTACGCCACGTGGGCGACAAAATATACATATAGATCAGTTACAACTTCTTAGGCATGTCTAATGCAAGGTGTTGTATCCCTAAAGTTAATCAGGTTTGTCAAAGTAAGACTTATCTTCCTTAGGAATGGAAAAGCTTGAAAAAATTTAACCTGTTCACTCATCCGGCAAATACAAGTCAGATGAAGTTAATGAAATTCTGATATATGCATCACTCATGCTTGTTCAGTACAATTAGGGCTTATAGATACTGGAAAAAGGCCTTTTTAAAAATTTCCACCTGATCAGTTATCTTGCTAATGCAAGCATGTGAAGTATGTCTGGTATTGTATATCATCTGATTGACATTTTGGCGCTGGTAGGTCTTATAATTTCTTGAAAAAATTAACATTGAGGTTTTTGGGAACAAAAAAGCAAATTCAAGACCGGAGACAGAAACAGCAATGTAGAAATTAAACGGGTGATAGAAATATCAATTTAGAAATTAAAGGGGTGATAGAAATGTCAACGTAGAAGAAATTAAATGGATGATATGAAGTATATAAGTACATGATTTATATAAAGGATCCCAATGAAGAAAAACAAGAGTTACATAACATCCATTTATGTTTTTTTTCCAGAGGGTTTCATTTCATTTTTGCTCTCAAAAGTGCTTCAGTAAAAATAATTAGACATGATGTGCAGACTAGGAGAATGGGGGTCCTGTCCTCTAAGGCATTGACTATGTTCTAGATTATTTGTCGATCTTTCATGTTTATCACACAGCTGCAATTATCAGCAATCTACTGAATTGAAACTTATACTGCCTTCAGTAATTTACTGCTACATTAAAAGGAGAAAACAAATATCTGAAACGTTTAAATTTGATCTTTTACTCTGATTACATGGTATTCTGCAATTTACAAGTAATGAGTAAATGAAGATCCACAATTGACATATGACAATGCATCTGTTTAGCAATATTGCAAAATGGAAAAAAAAAGACTGGCTGTAAAAAGATGGCTTTTTTTAAAAACTAAGATTCAAGCATTTTATTTTTCTTGTTCTTTATGAATTAAATACAAAACTCAGAATCAATTCAAGTGACAGAAAGTATCTTAAGAAGTTAAATACTGCAATATTTTTACAAGTATTTTTCTTTTATTACTATGGAATCATTTTCGGGGGGGAAGGGGGCAATGTTCGTTGATTTTGTGGGTCACCCTTACCCAGGAATTAACATCCCCACGTACTTTTATTTTGTAAACATATTGATTCATTGAATCTAATGTAGAAAACGAGTACCCCACGAAATAACCCCCCCCCCCGCAAACAAGTAAAATTTTGCTTGCCTACGAACATTGACCCCCAGGAATTAAACGATTCCACAGTACTTCCATTATCATATCGTTTGCCCCCAAGTAAAACCACTTGATTTAAAGGCAAAGGATTAAAAACGTTGTTCTTTTAAAAAAAAATATCAAATCCAACCAGCCAAACAAACAAACAATCAAAAAAAAAAAAAAAAAACAAAAAAACAAAAAAAAAAAAACAATCAAAGCGGAAAGTGGAAAATCCCATCGTTCATTTTTCAAACATTTCGCTGATAAAGAAACTATAACATTATTGTAATAACATCTTAACCTTTGACCCAGATATTTACATTTTTTCTGTCAAGAAAAAGAAACTTTTTTAGGAGGAAATAAGATAAAGTTATCTGGTGTCAAACTACTTCGTTAAATACCATCACTAGTATCGTCTTATGTATCAATGTACTTCTTTCTCAGACAACCTTACATCCTAGCGGCAAGTATGAGATTAAAGACTATAAGTGATATACTTTAATACAGGTTCGTATGTTGTATTAATTAAACCCTTTGCCCTTGACTTGACCTCCAAATAAAGACCCTGGCCACCAATTCTCTTTGTAGCAAGTATGAGATTAAAAGGACAATTGAATTTATAGGCATTTTTGTCGGAATATTTCATTGTTTTTGACCCTAAAATAATTAAACTTCTTTACCCAGTCATTCTTCAGAAATTTTGCAGCTATGACTGAGTCAGATAGTATACTGTACATTGTATATGGGTTCACAACAAACTAGTGAGTACACAAACACGCATGCACACATTAGGCTAGTTCTACCCCCTGATTTTGCACTTCAGCACAATGTCGTCAGGACTTAGCGCAATATCTGCCCTGGTTTGGGAGGACATTATTCAGCCTTACTTCCAATGCTTCACGCTGCGACAAGGTTCTATTGTCACCAAGGCTACAGGCGAGTATTGTTCGTTGAGAAAGATCATATGTATTTCTTAATAGAATCATGATAATATAGTCTGGAATACGGACAAAAAATTGTTTTTATTAACTGTTACCTAAAAGTGGTATTACATGTAACCTCTGCTAAGAAATACTTGCCAGACAAGTGTATTTTTCTTCTACATGTAATGGTGATCTGAAAATTTTGATACCATATATCTCAAAGAAAGGAACATTGATTTAGCAAAACCGTGAAGACAAGAACAGATCGATGTCATAAATCCTGTAAACACTACCAGTTAAGATCAGAGCAAAAACACAGACCCCTGGAAACACAAGAGATCAGGTGCCTAGGAGGAGTAAGCATTCCCCGTGAACCAGTCACACCCTGAGCCCTCTGTAATGATCGTGTTAATGGAGATAACCGTATTCAAAATTATTTGTTTAAATATTGGCTTAACAAATTGGTATGAAACAAGCAAAAATTTGACCCAACGATAAGTTGCATTTGCCAAAAGGTCAAGTGAAACTTGAAATAAAAAAAAATCACAGAGTCAACCACATTTGCTTCATATTTGAATGTTTTACTATGGCAAACTAAATTAAAGTTGAATTACATGACAAAGCGGAAGACTTCAGTTTTTTTTTCATCGTCAACTTTCACTATTTATGTAGCAATATTCCACTATCACCTGCATATGGTGTATATAATTACCAACTGCTTCGCAAGAGCATGTTATGGGTACGATTTATTTCATAATCTAGATTAATTACTGACAAATAAGTTGATGTTACAGGGTTTTCAATTGCTAGTCTTGTTTAATTCTACGGTAATTATAATGACTTATCGTTCGCTTGTATTTTGACTGAAGTGTTTCATACCAATTGCTAGGCCTTGTTTTATACTAATTTTGACAACGGATGACCTGATTAATATATGCGCTCAGTGCGGTTGTGACCGGTCCTTAGGGGATGATTACATGTACTCCTCCTAGACACCTCATCCCACCGCTGATATACCCTGGAGTTCATTTGTTGTCCTGCTCACAATTCATATTGTTTACAGAATTTATGAGATTGATCAGTTTGTTATTTTCTACTTTTCATTACACACTAGTATGTTATTACTAAAAAAAAAAATAAAACAAAAATAATGCAAGTCATGATTTATTTTGTTTATAATTGATGTTTATATACATTTTAGTTTCTGTTTTTGGTGGTATAATTGTCGGAATGTCATTTCTTGCCATGAATTTACCTGGCACAATAACGCAGGTAAACGGTCTACACTAATCAGAAATATCAAAAATCACGGTCTACTATAATCAGAAATATCAAAGATCGCGGTCTACTATAATCAGAAATATCATAAATCACGGTCTACTATAATCAGAGATATCAAAAATCACGGTCTACAATAATCAGAGATATCAAAAATCACGGTCTACTATAATCAGATATATCAAAAATCACGGTCTACAATAATCAGAGATATCATAAATCACGGTCTACTATAATCAGAAATATCATAAATCACGGTCTACTATAATCAGAGATATCAAAAATCACGGTCTACAATAATCAGAGATATCAAAAATCACGGTCTACTATAATCAGATATATCAAAAATCACGGTCTACAATAATCAGAAATATCAAAGATCACGGCCTACTATAATCAGAAATATCATAAATCACGGTCTACTATAATCAGAGATATCAAAAATCACGGTCTACAATAATCAGAGATATCATAAATCACGGTCTACTATAATCAGAAATATCATAAATCACGGTCTACTATAATCAGAAATATCATAAATCACGGTCTACTATAATCAGAGATATCAAAAATCACGGTCTACAATAATCAGAGATATCAAAAATCACGGTCTACTATAATCAGATATATCAAAAATCACGGTCTACAATAATCATAAATATCAAAGATCACGGCCTACTATAATCAGAAATATCAAAAATCACGGTCTACTATAATCAGAAATATCAAAAATCACGGTCTACTATAATCAGAGATATCAAAAATCACGGTCTACTATAATCAGAAATATCATAAATCTTTTTGACGTATCAGATGAAATTGTTTTATGCTCGATTTTCTGATAAAAACTATTTATATAGTAAGTCGAGAATCATCGTAAGACATATCTTATTTTTTACCATAATATGCATTAGCATATGCCTCCAAAGACTTCATATACCCATGGTATCTAAGGTCATTGATATTAACATATATTCTATCCCATCCAGCAATGAATTCCTATTATTTAACACAAGAAATAATATGGCACTGATTTTGTAGAAACTGATCAATCATAGCTTGTTCAGAAGATTTTGGAAGAACAAATTTTTTGTACAGAAAATGCAGAGGACATGTTTGGTAAATTAGCTATTAGTATAGTCTATTCTTCAAAACCAATCCAGTCGCCTGCATGGCGCAGTGGTTAGAGCGTCTGCTCTAGAGTCGCGAAGCAAGGAGTTGATCCTTACGTCGCGGGTTCGAATCCCACTGTGGGACGTGGAGACCGGTCCTTCGGATGAAACTGTATAAACCTAGGTCCCGTGTCGCAGTAGGTGATGGCACGAAAAAGATTCCTCACTGCTCAATGGCCGTAAGTGCCGAGTATAGGACAAAATTTGCAGCTCTCCACCGGCAAGTGGTGGCGTCTCCATATGAGTGAAAAATTCTCGAGAGGGACGTAAAAGAAAATACAATCAATCAATCAATCAATCAAAACCAATCCAAAAACTCCTACTGTAGCATCTTATTTACGTTGGAACTGTATTTTTTGCCAAAGTAAGAACACAGAAATGAATAGCGACTGCAGAAACAGCGCGTAACTGCTGCTCGGGAAGCGAGCTCTATAGACAAACGTCTAAGAACAGTGGAAATACAAAATGAAATCTATACATTCGCCAGGCAAATTTTTGTTTGAAACCTTCCCAGAATTCTTTTGCTACCACAATTTCATGCCATAATGGCAAGTGTGAAAGACCCGCAGTTATCATGAAAATTTAGTTCTTTCAGAGAGCTTAAAAGAAACAAAATAGCTGTATCTACTCTATGTAATGCTTTTTGTTAAAAATTGCTCTAGGCTTATTTCAACTCCATTATGAAAATGCAGATTACTTACGACGTCAAGAACGTCACAAACGCTTAAGTTTGATTGATTGATTGATTGAATGTTGTTTTACGTCCCGTTCGAGAATTTTTCACTCATGTAGAAACGTCACCATGTACCAGTAAAGGGCTTAAATTCAAATTTAGACTTTCTGTCGGCACTCAGGGCCATTGAGCAGTGAGGGTTCTTTATCGTGCCGACGCCCAGCGTGACACGGGGCCTGGGTCTAATCCAAAGGAGCTGCAACTTTCACTTCAAAGTGCCGAGCGCTTGGCAAAGGGAACAGTTGCTACCTATTTTTTTTTTTTATCGACTTAGGTCAGTCGCGGCCATGATTCGAACACACGCGACCTTCCGATCACGAAGCGAGCGCGCTACCGACTGAGCTACTGTGACGGACGCTTGAGTTTGAAGTGGCATATCAAATAAGTTGTTGTAAAAGTGTAAGTTTTGTAAAGCTTTTTGATGGAACAACTGTACTCCCCCCAACGGTCACACCGTAAAACATTTTTAAAAACATGTTTGGCAACTCTTCTTTTGTTTTCTCGTAATTTTTCTCTCTTAATAAAAGTTAACATTATTTAAAAATAATTTAATTCTGGTTGTAACGCGCCATCTCATTGGCTGAAAAATTATTTTGTATCGTATAAGCTATGTTGACTACATCATCACAATATGATCTGACGTCAAAACGTACCAATCGATCCGCTTGACGTTGGATTTAAATTGTGTACAATTTAAAGTCATTTTTAGTGGAAATTGTTTCTTTTTTCCAGTATACTTGTAAAAAATAATAAATTATATGGAATAAATTTAATAGCTACCCAAGTTATACTTGTGTAACCTAGGTTGGAACTGCTTACACTTTAATTTTTTCATAGATTGCAAGATGCGTACTTTTGTTTTTAGTTATGGTTAGTCTCCAAAAAATTATATGTATCAAAATTTAGTAAAGGCAAGTATTGGCTTCGCGTTTTCCTATCATCATAATCGTTAATTAAACGGTTAAACAATTCATAATTACAAATATTGAAGACGTCGATTTTCTTAGCTCACCTTTAACGAAGTTTGGAGAGCTAATGTTATAACCTCGGTGTCGGCGTCCAAGGTTAAAGTTTTTGGAGCAGATTTCTTTTCAAGTACTTCTAATCCCTAAACTGATCAGAGATGCATGGATGATGCTTCTAGTGTGTTTCTTTGTACCAGTCAAGGTTTCAGATGCTACAATTTCAGCTAAAGAATAACCAGGTTAAAGTTTTTGGAGCAGGTTAAAGTTTTCAGAGCAGGTCTCATTTCCAAAGTAACTACATAAATCCTATACTGACCAAACTTGTATGGATGATACATCTAAGGATGCACACTACCAGGCTTGCTTCAGATGCTGGATCTGACTTACATTTTCCGGATGAGTGACCATGTTAAAGTTTTTGGAGCAGATATCATTTCCAAGTAGCTATAAATCCTATATTGACCAAACTTGCATGGATTATACATCTAAGGATGCACACTACCAGGCTTGCTTCGGATGCTTGATCTGACCTACATTTTCCGGATGAGTGACCATGTTAAAGTTTTTGGAGCAGGTCTCATTTCCAAGTACATGTAACTATAAACCCTATACAAACTTGCATGGATGATACATCTACGGATGCACATTACCAGACTTGCTTCGGATGCTGAAACTGACCTACATTTTCCGGATGAGTGACCATGTTGAAGTTTTCGGAGGTCTCATTCCCAAGTAGCTATAGACCCTATATTGACCAAACTTGATTGGATGATACATCTAAGGATGCACACTACCAGACTTGCTTCGGATGCTGAACCAGGTTAAAGTTTTTGGAGGAGGCCTCATTCCCAACTACCTATAAACCCTATCTTGACCAAACTTGCATGGATGATACATCTAAGGATACACACTACTAGACTTGCTTCGGATGCAGAATCTGACCTACATTTATGGATGAATGACCAGATAAAAGTTATTGGAGCAAATCTCATTTCAAAGTAACTATAAGCCTTATAATGACCAAACTTGAATGAGGATGCACACTACCAGACTTGATTCGGATTCTGAATCTGACCTACATTTTCCAGATTAGTGATCAGCTTAAAGTTTTTGGAGCAGCTCCATTACCAAGAAACCATAAGGCCTACCTGAACCAAACTTGAATGGATGATGCATCAAGGGATGAACACTCTCAAAGATGCTTCAGATGCTGGCTTTGACTTACATTTTCTGGATAAGTGACTAGTTTAAAGTTTTTAGATAAGTTCATTCCCAAGTAACTACAAGCCGTATCAGACCAAAATTATATAGATGTTACATCTAGAGATGCAAACTGTTAGATTACTGAGTACTAGTTTAGTGTGGAACTTTGCCTTACACAAAGATAACATTCGCTGTGGTGAGCTCTGTTATCTTTGATTACTGGTATGTTTTATACTTATGGAATTATTTTGGTGATAGATTACATTAGGGACCCTATCTGCCACATCAGGACCTCTTGTGGGAGTTTATCTTTTGGGAATGATTTTTCCATGGGCCACAGCCAAAGTAAGACATCTCTCATTGCTGTTGCCTACTTACCATCTCTCTCTCTATCTCTCACAATTTGATTTTGGTCCAGACGAAAAAATTAAGTATACGTATAGATTTCATTTTTTTGGTTATGATGAAAATCGAACTTCATCAACAAATATCCCACTTTAGTATATTTATACTTGAATATTTAATTCAACTATTTAAAAATTCTTTATCAATAACAGTGCATTGTGACTTTTCCGTCAGCAAACATTAGTTGCATGTTTCTATGTTTTACAGTCTGCTGTCGTCTCTGGGGTTCTTGCGTTTTCTCTATGTCTTTCTATGACGATTGGATCGAACCTATACCCCACTAAATACCCTCAACTCGACCCTATCCCTACGTATGGCTGTCGTGGTTTCAACTCCACACTAAAACCCCTATATAATGTCTCAATCCATTCCGTCAATACCACAATTAGTGAGCAATATAATGGAAGACTGATTGACAACATTCAACCTTTTCATGCAGTAAACTATACGCTGGTTCCACCCACTGGACAAAGTGAAGATAACAAGCAAGTATCGTATGGTCAATTAATTCTATAATGTCAAAAATCTATTTTATTAACATTTTATGATTACTGTTAATTGAAAAGATTTGTACCTGTCATTTCAATCATCTATAGCTATTGAGTGCAAAAAAATATTTTCCGTCTTTATGTTAACATTATTACGACCATTGAGCCCTGAATAGCCTCAAAACTGTTCCATTTTGTAAATATTTTTCTTTGAAGTGCGCCTTGGTTATTCCGGGTCTCGTTTCTATGGTACCACGTGACTGGTGTCGTCACCACTCTCATTAGTGGAACCATTCTTTCTATCGTTTCAGGTTTGTAAAGTAATGATAAAAATAAGATAAATATTTTTACTTGAAGACAAGGGTCAGAGAGAACACTTTGAGGTCGATGAACTGTGGACATTTATGTACAGCTTCATATATGGATAGAATTTCCTTCCTTTTGTTCGAAAATACATGCACAAAATTGAGAGAAAAAGTAGCAAGACCGATTTACCCAAGACGCTTTTTATGAATAAAGGAATGCATAAAGTTAGAAAAATAATTCCAAGAATTAATAAATGATTGATTTTAAACACAAACTGAGAATGTATGAAATATATGGTCACTCAATACAGTAGTTTAATTAGATTAAATATCTAAAAGATTTTTTTAATATCACAAAATACCTTTTCAGAAAAGCTATACAGATTAAAGTTGCTGTGTAAAAAGGTATATTGAAAGAAAAAATACAAATAACTTGAATTAAGTCTTATGAATCTGATTGTTAACTCTCCGTCAATAAATACACACGTCTAACTAACATACAAGCACAGGCACTTGGGGTATGGAGCCCCCCCCCCCCTTTTTCCATTTTTTTTTCTTTTTAAATCTGTCACCTTTTTCCTATGTTTGTATTTTAATATGCACTATATGTTATCGATGATAAAACCCTTTTGTCTTTTTTGTCTTTATAAGCTGTTTTTAAATATATTGTTTTCGACTGATACATAAAAAGAGATTTAAAAAAACAGCTTATAGAGACAAAAGGGTTACATTATCGATAACATATAGTGCATATTAGAATACAAAAATAGGAAAGGGTGACTTGATCCCAGATTTAAAAAGAAAAAAAATTGGAAAAAAGGGTGGAGGGTTCCATACCCCAAGTGCCTGTGCATACAAGCCCTAAAACTATCATAGTCAATACTGTTGTCCAACTTCAACGGAGTTATTGTAGAAGAGTAATGGACCAACTTTATAATGTCGGTGTCCTCTGGCAGCACAGTGATGATGAAATAAATGAAAATTTACTGTAAATATGGATAACAATGTACTCAAATTGTCAATGATTAGAAACATACTAGTATTACGTTAAAACAGCCAAAATTACGACGAAATTATAGTACCTTTTCTTCTTCATATAATTTCGGTCGGAATCGGCTTAATTTGGATTTTATTTTAAAGTAGATAAATTTGCTACCTCTAATTTCTCTCAATATAACTGTTTCCACCAAATTTATTGACTAATTCAACAATTTGTACTTTGTATGTATTATAACATGAAGAGAAAGTTTTCAGATGGATTCGTAATGAAAATTGGATAATGAATTCATTAAGTCACTTGTTTAACTCAACTGAAGACCACCCATTGTTTTTTAAGATATATTAATAGTTGTATTATTCGTTGATATAATCAAAGATAAGAATTTATACTATGAATAATATTTATTTAATATTAATATTTTAATTTTAATATTACTTTAATATTATCTAGTTATAAGTATCTGTTTCATATAAAATAAATCAAAAAAGTAGTAAATGTTTAACATCATGTTGACCGTTTTGCAATTACCAAAAATAAGACTAAAAGAACACTAAAAATTTCTTGATGTCACCATGTGTTTATACAATTGCTTCAAATAGTCTACTTGAAAAAAATAATTAAAATCCATGACATGCGAAGAACCACCCATTGCCTGGTATTTTGGTGGACTGCCTTGTTACAACGCACTAGCTTTGAAAAATTACGCACTTTGAAAAAAATTCAAAGTGCGTTAATTTTGGGACCACGTTAACGCACTTTGAGAAAAAAATTTTTTCAAAGTGCACTTTCTTTTCAAAAACGCACTTTGAAAAGAGGGTGTTGCAGAAACTCGTGATTATTCCCTAAATCGAGAAGGTCATTTAAATACCCACGACGCATGAAGAGTTATCTTCAAATATAGATAATGCTACGTAGATGGCTTTATTTATACAGCGGGTATGTCCAGCTTGTTATAACGAAACATTTCACATTTTATGGTAATATCATGCGTATTTTTTCCTAAATAGACTCGCACATCATTTTGAAAGATGCACTGTAAAAAGCGTGCGTTAATATTTTTCAATATATACAAATGTGTCCAATAATTACGCTATTGATGCAATATCCAAGAAATTCCATTGAATCATTTCAATTTAGTTGTTTCAAATCAAATCTGAGCCAATAATTAACAGAACAATAATGAAACGAAATGCATATGAATAAATTAAATTATTTTAAATGATAGAACTTTATTTTTTAAGACATTGCCACTAAATAATAACATTAAATGTATGTCTTATTAGTTTTAGACACAATATCAAAGAAAACATTTGAATTCTGCGTTTATTTAAAATATTACCCATCAACTCTCTGACATTCTCTCCCTCTCTCTTTCTCTCTCAACAGAGTTGTTACATTGTACTTCCATTATAGTGTATAAGAAAAAAATGTATATACCAGCCATTCCAGGATTCGAACCCATTCTCAGGTAAAAAAAAGAATCTTCGCATAGAGTCCACACCCTTTACCACTAGACCAGGTCCGACACTAAAGCATAGTGTGCTATTTTATGTACACACTTTTCATTTCGGGTGGATAATAATTTTTCTTCGATTTTTGTGATTTTCAAAAATATGCCTCTTTGAAACAAAAATCGGAAATGGCAGTTTTGAAGAAAATTCCTGTCTCTTTATGCGCATATCAAATTCATTCTGTTTCAAGGAGGCAGTTTTTCAGAACAATGGGGATTCCCTATTTGAAAAACAGAAAACTTGACTTATTTTACTATGTGACTAATTCACACTTCTTTTAATGGCAAATTGGTAGTCGATATGCATTTTGCAAATATTGTTCTACATTGTGCTGTATATACTGTTGTATCTGAAAAAAATTTTTAGACCGTTTTCTGTTACTTAAAAATTTTCTTTTAAACTGCTACAGCTTTAGGGAAAATAACAAAAGAACTGCAACACCCTCTTTTTTTCAAAGAGCGTTAATATCGACCATATTAACGCACTTTGAAAAAAAAATGTGCACGGCTTGGTCAATATTCTTGCAAATTTTAGGTATGATGAATAATTATTTCAACCTTTTCGGTGATGACGTCAGGATCTGAGATATAGACGTTTTAAAGATTTTTAGGAGTTGTCTTGTTTCCAGAGGTTCTCGTAACTGTTATAAAAGTTAAATGGGTCTTAGAAATAATGGAGGAATGATTGTTTAATAGCAGAGTTTTGTTTCTTTTTTTCTTTTCTTTTTTAAATTTTATCCAGTCTCTAATAAGTTCGGTAGATGTAGGTGTCGATAAGTGACTTAGAGCATTGCATTTTTCTTCGGGAAAAGGGAGCAATTATGATTTTTCCATACCATGAAAATCCTCTCTCTCTCTCTCATCTATTTTTCTATCATATTCATCTATCTATCTATTGTGAACATATATGAAACAATGGTTGACTTATTTATTTGATTACTCCCTCGACTGAAATTTTTACCTCGTTTACTAATAACTTTTCTCACAAAAATATTATGCAATAAGATTACTTCTAAATCTGTAATTTGATATCCAAAAAAAAAAAAACACTAGACAAGTCAAATAGCATGTTTTAATTATCATGCAAATGCACTTTTTCTGAGGAATCATTGTGGATACATTTTGAATAAAGGTTATGCGGCTCTCTTCTTTAATATAAAGGGTGCGTATTTTTTTTTCCAGGAAAGCTTATCTCAATTTTTTCATCTATTTTACGTTAACTCAAATTTATTGAGAGAAATAATATCAATGTCATACCAGTTATGTAAATACATATATTTGTGTAGGAAAGATAGAGAGCTGGGCTGAGGGACTTTCTACCTGTCTTCTCGTTCTCGATGAGGGTAGATGAATTCATCAGTTTTTCGGAAGAAATATAAAAAAATTAATGCTGTCTATTATTAAAATCTAATTCAAGAATTTTTGTTTTATACGTTTTTTTTTCAAAGTGCGTTAAGTGTTTCCATGGTAAAAAATGTCGATGTACACTCTTAACGCACTTACGCACTTTGAAAAAAAATTCAAAGTGCATTGATTTTGTCCAAAATTTAACCCACTTTGAATTTTTTTTTTTCAAAGTGCGTTGATTTTGTCCCAATTTTAACGTACTTTGAAAATTTTTTTCAAAGTGCGTAATTTTTTCAAAGTGCGTTGCCACACTGCCTCTTAAAATCATATGCGAGCATCATTTTTTTAAACCTGTACATATACTGTTAAGTTCGTTTTTTAAAATTTTGCACTGTTAACTTTATTTTAAAAAATACATTTCCTTAATGTTTACAATAGACAGATAGATCCAATCTCAATATTATGGAGAAAATTAAAAAAAAAAAAATAACTGTCTGTCTGTCTCTCATTTGTTAACTATGCCTACCGTGCCGGCAAAATGTAAACAAGGCAATAACAACTTGCATGCACTACACCGCTCAATTCCTAAAACTCATGTAGTTTGGGCAAAAAAACTTCAGAAATTTCAGCGCTATGAGCACATTTAACACACACTAAATCAACTCAAATATGTCCAGAGAAAAAAAAGAATCAAATTGCATTATAAAATCCGTATATATATATATATATATATATATATATATATATATATATATATATATATATATATATATATATATATATATATATATATATATATAATTACCTAATAATCATACTTAAGCACTTGATATCTCATTTACTCTGTCCATTAGGAGGATTTTCTGACATACCATGTGAAGAGAGGTTTGTCTTCCTATTCGTCAGAAGACTAAATTGCTACCGGAAGCGATTGAAAATCAAGCAGCCATTGGCCCATTATACAGAATTCAGGGCTTCCTTCCGGTCAAAATACGACGACGAAAATCGTGCATCTTTCCGTTCCATAGAAAAACACAGTGAAACTCGCTTGCAGAGCAGATAAGCATGACTTTAATGATTCGGGGAGATAAAAAAAAAAAATACTCACCGTTGGTGGAATGCACTGCATCTTTTATCAGAAGCACTGTCGGACAGAAGTAGAAAAAATGTCAATTTCAAAATAAAATTATTAATTATAAAAATAGAAATTTCATGTCATTTTTTGATTTCATGATAAATAAGTACCCACCAGTGAATATAATCTCCAGAAACATCATTTCATTTTTTGTTAAATGCGTCAGTCATCTGAGCAGTGTTCACTGCTGAAGTGATCAGCAGCGCCTGTGTCAGATAAATAGTTAGTAGATCTGCATTGATCCTCTGGACACCTCAATGATTCCGTGTTTTCAGATACAAAAGCAGATACAAACTGCAGGGAGTACTTTATCGGTAAATGGAAGTCAGAAGTGCTATTTCATTTTGATCAACAAATTAAAGTTCAAAATTAAAATTGCACAAACATTTAGAAACCATTCAACTGAAGCAAGTCGTCAGTTTACCATCTTTGATTCATTTAATGAATCAATCAACATTAAACACAAATTTCAACTTTTTTCCCCGGAAATTAAATGTTAGAAATCCATAGGTCATTTATTTGTACTGTATTATAAACTTTCACGTTTGTTGTCACTGCGATTTTTATCTTGAATTAGAAAAATTAAGTGCCAATAATATCAACTGACACCTTTTGGATACTAGTAGATATAAATTTCCTCGTTAGATTTTAAAAGTTGTATAAGTCGTCGCAAGAGTCCACCGTTTGATGTGTGTGGAATTTTTTAAAGTGCACATTCTAGTGGATAAAGCCCGTTCTTTGAACACATAAAACTGATATTTTTTCCTGCAAAGTTGATACAGAAATGTTCGGCACTATATCAGGATGTTCCCTAAGTAGGTACGCCATTTCTTTCATGTCTTCATAAATACATTTATACTGGAAAGTAATTAACCGCTAAAACAGCCTTGTGTAGTGTATATATTGTGATACTTAAATCGAAACAGAGATATGCTTCTAAATGAAAAACTTTGATTCACACATCCAGACAAGTGATTATTCTATCCCCTCAGTGATTTCTCTTTGGGCTATAATTAAAAACACATCAAAAAGTGCAAGCAACTCATCTACACATGTGTATTAATTACACCTTTCAAGTGGGTGAATTTTAAGGATTTTTGTGTTTGTAGTGTTAGTTGCACTCTAACACATAACATGTATCATTTATTGTGAAAAAAATATTAGAAATTTGAGAGAAATTCAAAAAATGTCTTGTTTAAAGTGTTTCCAGCATTAACCTTTTGATTATTGCAATAAAACTATTCCACCTTGATTGTAGATTTATGAAATTTCAAAGGCTCAAGCATTTAAATTCAACTTATACTTAAGCAGATTGTGCCATTTTGAAATAATAACTACATGTGCAAGCGTCCTATGATGGGTTCCAAAGACAACATATGTCTTTTTTGGCTGTCTTAGCAATATAACATCCAAAATGAAATATTAAAAGAATGTTCTGATATTATTAAAAAAAATCAAGGTAACTAGCTATAGATGCCACCAACTGATGTCATGATGATAAATTGAGAAAATCAGCTAAAAGAGGTCCATGGGCTACAACGCGTCAATATGGCCCTGCTGTTCTTCATCATCAGATTTTCTCTTGTATATTCGTATGTAAAACTTTGATCCCCTGTTGTAACCCCACTCTACCCACCAGGTGTCATGATTTGAACAAACTTGAATCTAAGCTATCTGAGGATGCATGCTTCCATATTCATATGACTATAATCATGACCTTTACTTATCTTGAGAAGAAGATTTTTGAAGATGTAATCCATATCCTACCCTAAGAATCATGATTTGAACAAACTTGAACGTACACTACCTAAGGATGCTTCCATAACAATATGACTAATAATAACGTTGCTGTTCTTTAGAATAAGAATTTTAAAGATTTTTTCCTATATGTTCCTATTTAAAACTTTGATCCCCATTGTGTCCCACCCTACCATCAGGGGTCATGATTTGAACAAACCTGAATCTACACTACATGTACCTGAGGATGTTTCCATATCAATATGACTAATCAAGGTTTTGTGTGAAGTAGGCTAAAGATCACTTTGGTCCCTCTACCCTAGGAAAAGTCAACCCTCGTATGATTAAAAAAAATATCTGTAGGGTTTTTTCTCTTAGGAATAAAAAAGTTATTAAGGGAGATGTGGCATCTTTAAAACAATACTATTTAATAAAAGGTATAAAAACAGGTAATGTATTTTTTTTCGTGTTCAATGATGGACAGATTGTATACAAACAGTCCATTGGATAATTATCACTACACGCTTTAACGTGTACGTAGTTATAATTGCAATATTTTGAGGCTGTTTTGCAATCCATTCAAAGTTATTTTAGATAGAGTGCTTCATACAAAATATGTTTGAGAAAGCGTCCGAGGATTTTCAAATATTGCCCTGGTGGACACTGATCAATTGGTTTGACAAGACGGTATTACACGATCTCTTCTATAGCAATAAAGCACAAAAGGTTCTGTACTTCTAAACATTGATTGAGATAATCAACAAATATTATCTTCCCCTCAAGATTGATTTCGAATCAGAAATGAATTCCAAGAACAATCCAGGAATTGTTTGAAATGATGTCCTGAAAATCGTTGACGCACTGCCTATAGAATCCATGACATCAAACACGCTGTGGTGTCAAAAGAAGCCCGTAACATTGTAAAGTTTGAATCAGGTTAAAAATCAGGTCTATGAGACAAACTAACTGGAGTACAATATTGAAAGGAATTCGGTCTGCTTGAATGTGCAAGCGCGCGAAAATGTAAGCAGCATTTGTAAAGGACGTTGATTTGAAGAACACTAACGTCAGAAGGGCTTCTGTTTCTGTACTGAAGTCAACGGGGACTGTGTAGAAGAAAATACACGTACACAAGGATATAAACACAATGTATATGTACACAATAGGCCAGAATACTAGCTTGTTAACACAAATTACGGATATGAACTGTAGCAAGTCGACAAAATATCCTATACAGATCCGAACCAAGAAAAATCCGCCGCTGTTTCCGGTGTATGGCACTCCACTCCAAACTGACATCGCCTGCATGGTCATATCCATCATTGTCCATCACAATAGAAGAATTCAAATGACAATTTCTAACGTACACAGTGAATTTATTTAAAGTATTCTGTCCTGTTATGAGAACAATAGCATTTAAAGACATGCATTCATTGTGAAGTCCTGCTTGTTTTCCTTTTCTAGTTAACCTCTCGTGTACTAATAAATAGAGGATGAAAACCTCCATGAAAATCGGCATATTAATTTTCCTCCAACCATACCCTTATCGGGAAATATGCTGAAAAATTGCGTTTTAAATTTTAAAGGAAAAGTCGCACAATTTTGTTCTTGCTATTTCAAATGTAGTTTACAACTATATATATATATAAGGAACGTTTTTAAGTTTTGTTTGAGTTATTGGAGTGTAAATCACACAGACTTGTCACGTAGGCATATTTCATGTCTGTGTAATTTACACACCAATAATTCACAATAAACTTTAAAAAAAACAACATTTACAATTGAAATGTTTAAAAGCACCAAAAATAAACTCAGATCAATATCATACTTGGTTAAGTGGAAAAACACAGCAAATGTAAATATATTAATATTATAACATTTTTGTGCGTAGTATAGTACTGTATACGATTTTTTCCTTTAAATAAATTTAGTGAATCATTTTTTTTTTATTATTTTCATGTTATTTCGAGTGACACTAATGGATTATACGTGAACATGTTTCCTAATTGCAGAAATGTACGGAATAGTTAGATTCCCATTGTTTGGGTTTTTTTTTTTTAAAAATTTGTAACAAGTTTCACGGTACTGTATGGAATGTCATTTTTGGTATCATAGTGAAAGTGCAAAATGATTTACTTTATTCAGTTTTATTATAATGAAAGAAATCCCGCGCAATTAAGTGGGAATTGTTTTCACTAGTGATGGAATCAAAAATAGAGATAACAGAAATCAAACTCAAAAGTACATAGAAAAAATACAAATCAGGAGCAGAGCAAACAGGGATCTCTAAAAACAAATTCTATGGTCGCAAGAGTTGGGATCAGGTGCAACAAAGGAGTAAGCATCCCCTGCCGACCGGTCACACCCGCCGTGTGCTCCTTGTTATGATCGGGAAATAACAGAAAAATTTCAGTGGGTAAATAACTCTTAACAATTAGTATGAAAAACGTCAGACAGCATTTGCCTTACATTTTAATAATAAAGCATTGTTTTGATAACAAGGTCATTGTATCGACCATAGAACTTGCGAAATGATGACTTTGAACGAGGCTGTTGATATTCTTGTTTCATCAACTTGTCAATAGCTTGTCTCGTTTTAGAAATTGTACTCTTGCATATCGAGTCAACTGCGAGACAGAAAATCCATATGCAGGTGATAAAGGTATATTGCTATTTAACGGATGTTGACGATAGAAAGGTGGAAGTCATCACGTTTATCATAAAGTTTTATTGTTAAGTCAGACTCGGCGGTGTCCTTTATTTCAAGTTCACTGGGATACATATATCGAGTCGACATATGAATGGAAGTAATTATTGTTAATTGATAATACGTCGTCTGTCGACTTGAAGGCCACAGCAAGTGTTTTCTTCTTCTCATGAGCAAGTTTTTAAATAAATTCTGCTACATATTATGAATACAAAAAAGGTATGCTAATAACGGGGCACGTTTGATTTCCAAAACTACATAAATATTGTCAATCACAAACTTAGGCATCTTTTTAATAACAACTTCAGAGCTCTTGTGTGTAAAATCGGAATATTTTGTAATTTTATTATTTTGTAAATGACCAAGACAAGATAAGTAACATTTTATTGCCAATACATCTTTGAAGTTTTTACTGACAATTAATGAGAAAAAAAATACTTCGTACAATCCTTTGTTCAACATCCCGCAGTTACTGTGAGAGCACAAGTAGATATACGTTCCCTCGGGTTTTCTCTTTTTTTCTTAAATTTGCGTTTCACATCGTATGTCTTTTGTTGTAGAAGTTCGTTTCACACCTTATGTAAATGCGTAATACCTAATTACTTATAATAACTATTGTGTCCAGAAAA